TATTTTCAATTTGAATGTTATTTCATGTGTTTTTTATTTTTTTGCGGCGTACGCCAGCGCGGATAATTTCGTACCGGAAATCTTTTTCGGGACCAGGTTCTCCAATTTATTCTTTTGTTGATACTGACAACCCACTGGAAGTGTCGTAAATAAACGCGCCTTAAAACTGGACCGTGAAAAACAAAACTATTCATGAATTTGGAGATCCTCTTCTAGCTTGCTCTAACAAATGGCATCTCAGAACCTGTGCACCACGGCAACAATTCAAAACCGGAAAGTGTGTGCATGATTGCGCAAAACAAATGATAAATTTCCTCCATATGATTGCGCCAGCAAAGATCAATCACATCTATCAACATCACACAGAATGAACTGACAACTCCTCTTCCACAATAGCTGACATTTCTTTCTTTTTAGGGCCCATTGCCAAATCAAAAGCCCCCCACTAAGCACATTGGAATTCACCATGGTCTAATCCAGTTCTGACCATTCCACACCCGCCTGGACCCCTTCTGGAGCGCCTCCTTGGGCCGCGGATCAACTTTGGATCCCTCCCTGGGAACCCTTGTAGACCCGTGGAGCTGAGGGGATGCAATTTTCTTGCAAATCAGGTTGCGAACTTCAGCCCCAAGGCAAATCAGAAAATCAGTAAGTAGCACTTCAAATTGCAGCAGCTGTTAAAATGTCCCAAGGTGAAAAATAGACAAATCCCCACTTTCCCATGAGAATCTTCCCCGAACGATCCTTTACCAGGTGTCACTTCCCCGCCTCAGCGCAGGGACTTGACCTGGTGTGCAGCGCACCATTTATGGGGCTTGGTCGATCTAGGTCCAAGGTCGCTGCAAATTATCCAGAAATATCTGCTTTTGGTTTTAGATCCCAAGATTTGAATGGCATGGCGTGCGAAAAAGATGAGGAAATGGCCTTTGTCTGCTAGGCTATACACACCTCGAGCTAGGCACACTCAATCTTCCAACAGAACTCAACATCTTTTTGTTCGCCCCTGGACAGAAGTGGCATCTTCAGCATCCAGGGTTTCACACTGGACGCCCCATCCCATGCTCCTTCCTACCTTGCGCATCTTGTAGTTGCAGTAGTCCCCAGGCGCCAACTCGTGCTTGCCACGTCGCATCTTTCTCTGCAAAATCTGGGCGCAGCAAGGGATTGTGGATAATGGTGCCTCAACAGGTTTGATTCTTTCATGGCTTGATTCAGAAATGTCTTCAACATTACCAGTAAGGTTTTGCAGAGACAGGTCAATTCAGAAATGATCTTGGTCATTGGAAGTGGCTAGGCCAATTTGATTGATAGTCGGATAGATCCGGGACGTTGATCCACACACCTTGCGGCCCTTCCGGGTGGCAGCGCGAGCCAACAGGGAGCCTCAGCAACGGCGTCTGGGTCGGTTGCCCATCCTAAGTGCCTTGGGTTTTCCCATGTCCCACAATGGCAAGCTGGGCATCCCCCCTTCACTGACAAGAAAGCTGGGACCCCAAATTCCTCAAACATACAAGGATTTTGATGATTTTGGATGTTTCCTTCAGGTCTTGAGCGCGATCCATTTGAAGATCACTCTAAAACTGAAGAACTGAATGTGTCTGTGTCGCAGGTGAAGCAAATGCTGCTACCTCATGCGTCTAGAAGACACGGTGGCAAATCCATGCTATCAAGACATCTAGACCCGTGAGCTTCAGCTTGACATCGAACCAGCCTGCTGAATGCGAATCGATACCGGGGCTCCGTGCAGGTGCGAAACTTCTTACGCTTGGTCCAGCCCTCGCTTCGATCTGGTCAGAGGCCGTAGGAGGATATCCAACCTTCTGACTTTACCTTGAAAAAATACCCCCTATGCTTAAGGACATCCTGTAACGAATTTGTGGAAATGTCAGCACTAGAACTTGCTGCGATAGAGCCACTTGTGATACTAGAGCTCTGTTGCCAAAGACCATTCGTAGCATGTAGCTGTGCAACATTTCACCCGCAACTACTCCACAACTTATTCACCTCTCTAATCCCAGTGCAATTTGTCATGTTCCACTATGCAAATTTGCTGACATCTCTCAGGATCAACACGAACAGAGCAAATGCCACAATTATTTGAAAATGGTAGAGAACAGTAAATTAACAGTTCCACTTCAAAGTTATCGCAATTTACCTGGGAACGTTCTGGATTCATGAAGACTTGCTAACACGGGGCATGTTTGTTGTACCAGGCGGAGTTACCCCGCTCCGCGGCCTCTTTTGGTGCGCTTCTTGTTGAACATGGCAACCTCAGCATACACGGCTCTCGGCACTATGGGTCCTGACGACTGGGCGCAACAGTGGAATGACGGTCTCTGGCAGCCACCGTTCCACCAGGCTCAGCCTTTGTAATCTGCACAAAAAAAAACATATCTGGTGAACATACCTATCCGTCATCCCATGGTCTTTAGCATCCATTCGAATCACATTTCTTGACTCAACTTTTCCATTCTGCAGACCATCGGAAATCCTTGAGCCAAAGCCCCAAACTGATCCCAAGCACTTGCATGGCCAGGTAACGTTCACCTCACGTGCGCCTTCCAAAGAAGGAACTTCAGCTCCGGCCAACAGAGATCCACTGGCGAAGTCACCTGTGAGAAATCATGCCGGCCATTGATGGATGAAGATAAAAGCACCATATTTCCAATGGAAAGGCGGAAAAAGCAAATGATCGGAAAGGCAGAAACTACTAAATGACTCGAACATGGGAACAATTAACCAACAGTAACCAATCAAAGACGAGACTTGGTGCACCTTCCATGAGATCCATGGAGCCCATCTCTCCGGCTTTCACCTTAACGCAGAGGCCAAGGCCACTTGCTGTCACAGGGGAACTCAGGTAGAAACAAGATACGATCCATGTCACAACTTCCCTTGTGGTCTATCTGGACAACCAATCAGATTCCAGTGCCCAGCTGAATTCTCAAATTTCCACCGGATCCGGACTCTTTGTGACGAGGCACCGCAGAAAAACGAGGGGATGGTTGCACGGGTGCGGTCAAAGCCAAGAAACATCTGGGCATGTCAAGCGTTTGGGGTGGAACAGTGATGTTGCAACATGGATTCACCGGCCAGGTGGATTTGCCATATATATATATATGTATGATTATGTATGTATTGGAAACGTCATTTATGATTCCACTGTCACATCCACAAAGGAGGATAGCACGACATGACATCGACAGCGAAAGGTGTCCGTTGACTAAGTGCTGACATCCCACTCTGCTGAGCACCGGTTACGTCCTCTCGCACTTATCCATGGCGTATGTTGACCAATGATAGCCAACTGCTGAGATGCCCAACTGTTGCACCACACGAAGCCTGAGTCGGGGAAGGTGGTGCAACCAGGTGCAGCATTGCTTAGGAACATCCGAACATCCATAATTTTGAATCGTTGAATCCAACAATGTGGCACATAGAAATATTCTAGAGAAAACTGGGAGAGATTATGAGGTTCCGCCTGGTGGACACCTACATTTCACATCCATGGTCCGCCAAGGAACGACAGCAAGGAGGCGCATATGGCGACAAGGAAAGGCAGAACTGCAGAGCGGTGCTGGAAACGGCTGGGTATGGCATGTCTATCAAGACATATCAAATGAATTCAAATGATTACTTAGTCGAAATGATTACTTTGTCGGAAAATGGAGGCATACCAAACAAATTATGATAAACGATGGGTTTGAGAGGTGCTGGGAGAGGGAGAGGAAGTGAGTCAAAGAAAACATTGAAGGACAACACGCGTTCTGTCCAAAAGACATACTTATCTTCCAGATGACACCCCAGAGTTTTGAAGCTGATTTTGGGAAATTCAATGGGCATCCAATCCTGGGATTTCATGAGGAACACCAAATCATGGAATGCTCCCAGAGGTCACAGGGGGTATTCCCCACCCAGTGCCTTTCCCCATGCCGGAAGCGCGAACACACCCACGGGGGGCGGCCCACTGACTTGAGCCTCCGTTCCCTATGATCATGGAGATCCAGTGATGATTCTTTTTGCATCAACTTGTTTTTTGTCTGGAAATAGCCAACTCATCTTCTGTTTCTTTGGGGAATTTTCTTGGAGATGGAAAGGCAATTGTTTTAACCCGGGATGTCCAAGAATTGAAAATTGTCTTGCCAATTTGATTGATGCATCATATCTTCATGGCAATCTCCCAGCGAGCACTTCCAACATTCCGGGGTTCGCCCAAGACAGCAGCCGGCACGACTGTTTTCACACGCATGGTACGTTTGCGTTGATCAAATGCAGCACCACTTGTCACGGCCTGTGGATGCAGTGCAACACTCGCACTTCCAGGTCTTCGGGTCGTCATGAGCCAGTCTTTTGGCAATCATCTGTGACTGTGTAGTGCTTATGAATCGTCCCTCCTCAAAAGTGAGAGGACTTGGTAGAATAGTCTTTTTGTGCCACAAGGCCTTCCATTTGAGCAAAATTCGTTCCAACCAAAATTCGTCGCAGAATTCTATCTCCTCATTCTCATCCCATTGATCAATGAGTATGCACGTCGGTTCTAAGCTAGCAAAAAAACATTTTTTGGGCACCCAATTTAGTAACACGGCCATGTGCTAGCCTTTGGCATCCCCCGCCTTGTTTGCAGCGCTCATCCAAAGCATCTTCTGCCGAGGATGCCTGGTGCCATGCTGGTCATTTGGGCTCAACCCCGAAACGTTATACCAGGAAAACGCTCATGAAGCTAGCAAGAAGATTCACAAAAAGTGACAAACAAAAGGGAAGTTAGTTAATATAAGCGGTATTGTGGACAAACCACATCTTAAACCGCTGGCAGCCGCCCATGTAGTGTTTACTAGCTGGCCATTTCAGCGGATTCATGCTTATCGACCTAGCAAAAGCACTGATTTTAAGGCCTCCTTCAGACTCATCCTTCCCCGTCGTTTTTGTTTAGTAGCCCCGCCCCACCTATGTATAAATATCCACAATGCAATGGTGCTGAGTTGTAAAACAGCCTAACTTACCTATTTAGACGGACCGCATGGTCCATAGGTATTGACCCATCCCTGCCTTGGAGAGCTTCTTGGTCACCACCTAGTCGGTCATGAGTTGGGAAAACGGGGTGTTCTCTAAACAACATGTTATCAATCATGTGTTGTCTCTTTCCAGAAACCAATGGAAACTGGGTGTTCTTCGTTTGTCCCCGGTGGCTGGCACCCAGTGATACTCCTGCCTTGTAGCCCCACATGCCGGTCTTCTCGCGCACACTCACTGTCTTGGCTTGCTTCCTTAGCGATGGATGCTCCAAATTCAAAAGAGCATTATGTCATTATGGTTGTCTGGTTGTCTAGATTTAGGTCACCAACTTACATGATCCTTTTAGATCTCTAGGTAGGTGATTTTTTTGGCGATGTTTTCCAAGCCAGTGCAGCCCGGTGATATTGAGAGCTGCCATGCCAAGTGTCTTCAGCCGTTTGTCAAGCTGCCTGGCAGGTTGTTACTGCGGCTCATATGGGGGCCTTCTATAGAAGGCTTTGAAAGCACATGAATTGATTGTTCAGCAAAGAGCTCAAAAAATCCTGGGTCAGTCTGAAAATCGTCAGAGTCAAACCTTTTCAGTTCATATGGGTGATAACTGGCACCCTAACTTCCCGCCGAATCAAAACATTCTTGAGGCCAAGATAGGCCAAGCCATTCTGAAGCAAAAAAGATTTCAAACATCCTAGGCCCAAATGCCAAGCTTCCCATTCATGTCATCCTTACCAACAGTTGCCCTCCCAGGACCTGCCTTTGCAACTCCCGGGATGCTGCGTCCTGCAAGAGTTCCGGGTTGTCTTCTTCAATCTCTGCCTGCGCCACAAAGGACCGATGTGGACATTTTCAAGTCCCAACAAACTCAGAGCCGATGTCTCGGCAGAACTGGATTGGAGACAAGACACTGGAAGAGAGGATAAGTTTGAGATTCAACTCGCTCATTCAAAACGATTATGCTGTCAAAGTGAGCCTTAGCTTTCTCTTTGATCTTCAAGGAATCCTTCCCTCAGGAGCATTCCACATGCATCTGAGACCTAACTTCACATGATGCCCCAATAAAAATAATGCATTGTCAGAACAGTCTTGTTTGCTTCATTTGCTTCCAAGAAACTGATGTGAAACCTCAGTGAAGGACACGGCGGTGAAGGACCCAGAATGAAACGCTCTGAAGGGAACGTTGCAGCCCTGCGGCTCCTTTCCAGAAAATCCCAAAACCAATCTACTGTACCTCTGGACTGCAGAAGATTCCCAGTCATCTCAATCTCAAGAGTCCTTGACTTCATTGCGGGCTGCATAAATGGTGAATAGTGAATATGAACTCAAGACAAATTTGCCCATCAACAGAACCATCCACAAATGTTTACTCAGAGAATCGACTGCGGGACCAGTGTTGGCCACACTAAACTCACCAAGGGCCCAGCTCACAGGTAGATGACAAGTCCTGCGGGCCGATGTGGACAGTTGACGTCCCCGTACCAGGCTCTGCAACACTTCTGGATTTTCATGGATTTTCAACAAATATTCCAACTGACTTGCTATTCTGCCCATGCTTGAAGCTTCAGCATGAAACCCTGAAATGAAGCGTATTGCAAAGCCTCTGCCTGTTGGGGGCCCGTTTCAAACATCCCAAGGAGACCTGGAACATGGCTGCGGAGGATGTCCTTTGCATTCACCAAAAGATTACTTGCCAACGATTTCTTTCTCTCAAAATCCCCAACTTATTTTCTGGTTCAACAATTCAACATTCCAATTGTTGCTTATTCAATTCCAATTTTCCGTGGTGACAATTCCATATCTTTTGGTGGAAAAACAACCCCCCAGCTGTTGGATGCTTCATGTCGCGGGTCCTTTGAGAAGGCCTGGTGCAAGACGCTGCTGCGCTGAGATAGGACCTCAGGGGGAAAAAATGTGTCCAGTGGGGGGTGTTTGACCGTGGATCCATGAAAATCATGGGGATAGAGGTGGGATCAAAAAATGGATAGAACATGAAAAAGAGGGATCTAAAATGGTTAAAACCATCCAGGTGTGATCCAAAACCATATCAGTTGGATTACCCAAAGTGCATATGCACAAGGACAAATTTGGGCTTCTTTTCACTGGGCAAGGCTGGAATACATCATGAAAGCTAGGAACTTTGTGAGATATGGGAATATCACCGCGACGAAGTCAGAAAAATGGTTGGACACTGGATTTGTCATATGAGTTGTATCCTGCTTTTAGCAGCAAAGGGCGGATAGAATCCATCTTGGGACCATTTACTCACTTAAGGCATGACCTGGAGGTCAAACAGACTTTGCCAAGCGGATCCAAATTCACAAATCATTCCCATTACTGTTTCTAATGATGGCCTAATAACCACTAGCTTTGCTAGTGATTGGGATATTTCCATGGCCATAGCTTGAGGTTGCTTCATTCAACTTGTAACGCCCCCTATCCCATTTTGATTACAATATCTAATATATTCAATATACCAATTTAGTAACTAGAATACTATCATTATGACTTTACACTCATTGATACTATGATACTATCATATAATGGATAATATCATAGTGTATTTTGTTTACCATATACTGTAGATGATCTAATACTAATTGATATTATATTTCCATATAATGGATAATATAGTCCATATATGATCATATATATATATACACACCATATACCATATATATATATAGGTACTATAATCATCTATAATCACCATCATATCACACTGCGATTTCTCGTTTTCCCCTGGACTTGGACCCCCAACAGAGACCACCATGCGCAACTCCACCTGGCACAGGCACTTTGGGAGCTCTTTTCAAGAATTTAGCCATTTATTTTCTGACGAAATTACATATTATATATATATTTACATATATATATATGCGTATATATAGATATTTGTCAAAGTGAAATCCAACAAATCCAAGACCATAAGAATCTTATAGCTCCAATCAGGTTTCAGATCACACAATGCATTACGCCGAACCCCAAAGGACACCTTTCATCGCACCTCCAAGGACGTGGGGTGGTGGACCATGATGGTATCCCCCACCTCCAACCTTGGTCCAAATTCCAACATCCGACTCAGCTTTTCAACCCACCCAGTAGATCCCATCTGGATGATTTTCATCACGAAATCCAAACAGTGTTTCACCGAGGTCGGCACTCGTCCTTGAACTTCGTCTCAAAGCCTCCAGTGGGTGCTACTGATAGTGTGCAAGGCTTGATGTGGCAATAACTTGTCCATCTTTTGCTGGGAGATTTCTGTAGCTCTGGTGAAAGGATGTGCAGAAAGTGTGAGTCTAAAGTCGCAAGCACTTCAGACCATTTCTTTGCCATGTGGTTGTTTGCAGCACGAGGCCAAGAACGGCTGAATGCTCAACACTACCAAAATGGTTAGGTAAACCGGTAAACCCTGACGAGCAATCTCTGCCTATGGTGTTTGGACCATTTCTTCAAGCAAGGAACCATGGATCGTAGTGGTGTTTGTCACGATGCGTCCAGAGCCTTTCGCTGGGTCAGTGAAAGGACAGAAACACAGAAACCGAAGTTGGAATCTTCCCCCTCTATCGGTCAGTTGCCTTCTTGGGAACTGATGTCGTACAGCTAATATGGCTCAAAGATGGGATGCAAGTGCAAGTCAAACCCCAAACTTTGCTGATATATCTCCTTTTCAAAAATGTTCACCCCGAATTGTAGCCCCTGTGGGGTGGGAGAATATTCCGTGACTCTAACGGTTTGGGACGTGTTTGTTGGGACGTGACGCAGCAGATGTGTCGGAGCTATGTTTCTGTTTGGGATGAAGCCTCCCCAGGATATCTCCTCAGTGAATGAGAATACACTTCTCTCTACTTGAGATCTGCTACAGCCTCCTGACTTGGCAAACCAAATGTGGTACAAATGATGTTCGAGCTAAGAAAATCTATTCGTGCTCTAAGCTTTTGAGAATGGAATCACTAGATTCACTCCATGGCTTAGCCAACGACCCAGGGCCTCTCAAATAGATGCGGGGAAGTACAAGTTTCACACTTTCACTCTCCACAAGGTTCGAAGAGTTGGCGATCTTTGCCTATCAAAAGACCCCTTTGGTGACCGATTTTCAAGGGTATCATTGGTATCATGACAATCTCCTGGGAAACTCCACAGTGATGCCTGGAACGACTGGAACATCGATCCTTAGGCGCAAAAAAGGCTTTGGAGGCGGTGCCGAGACTTGGGATCTTCTGGGATGCAAAAAAGCCAAGGAATCCCCAAGTTTTGGGTCAGCGAATCGTTTTGTGTCCTCCACCGAAACATGCAATCCCCCGCAGGTTGAAAAGGTAAGGCCATCAGAAGACACTGAGGCGCTACCAAGCTGCTCTTTGTCAGGTGCTTCCCCACCCTCAACATTCACCACCTCGTCACCAGTGTCAACCTTGTCGCTGGTGGCGTGATGCTGTTTGACTGCTACCCTTGTGTTTCTTCATTTTAAGGTTATTGTACCTTGATGGGGAAAAGAACCACAACCATCATTATCTGACTACCTTTTATGACTTCCAGTTTGCTGTTTTCAATCTGTTGCAAAGATATGTTTCTCAGTCGAGTAATAATCAAATTTTCTTCTGTCGAGAAGACTTTTTGAAACCGCAAACCAGTTTTGAAAAACCAAATTTATAGGTTATATACAAATTCTTGACAGGCAAATTCTGAGACCCCATTTGTACCACTGGCAATCCCATGATATGCCCATTAATCCATTCAGCAAAAATTGATGGCAGATTGTAGCCTTATTCTTTGTTGCTTTAGTCCATCTTGGAGATATATAACTATTTCATCCATTGTGCTACTATAACCTGTTTTAGCAACTATTTTCATGATCATTGGAGGTCTTGACCAAATAAAATTGGGATTGAACCAACCAAACCATCTTGGGGACTCTTAACCATAAATTGATGGTAGATCTGCTGTTATGCCACCTATTCATTGGATTTAGAATGATTTAGATCCCTATTTAATCCATGAGACCTGCTTTTGGGCGTGCACTTCCAGTTGTAAGTGGATATGTATCTATTTCATGATAGTTAGAGGGGGGCACTATCCCAACCTTTGGAGGCAATTTCACCAGGCTTACACCCTGAAAAATATCCCCAACTGCAACCCATGTAGGTTGTATATATATATATACACACGTATAGTCATTATATCCCTCATATATCATATGAAATCCCACTGTATCCCCATTGGTAGTCCCATTAAATCCCACTATATCCTACACCACTGTTATATTGTAAAATATATATCATATTATATCCCATGATCATTATCATATCCAATTATGATAATGGCTGGCTTGGTTTCTGTCCAAACAAACGGCGCGCCTTGCCGCGGCGCTTCTTCTTCTCTCGCCCTGCTTCACCTTTGAAGCTCAGGGCGGTACGCTTCACACCTGAGACCGGCTTGGGGAGACAAGGGGAAGGGCATATTCAGCATTTTGCCAGGTACACTATAGTCCCATTGGTGCATTAATGTTAATATCACTGGATATTGTGGGACTATGATATATTATGATGCGAATATATCATGGAGATATGATCGGAATATCATTGGATATAATGGGAATGTAACCAGCAATATGGGAGTGTGACCAACACTCAATGGATTGGTTTAAGACAAAAATCAACAGGAAACTCTGGTCTTACCCATTGGAAATGGGGTTTCCAGTAGGTTTTTTTCTCTTGGTCCAATTCTGGGATAATATGAATATGTGCGGATGATGAAGCAATCAGTTAATCAATGAATCAAATATGACATGTTCATCATATTCTTTCACACATGGGTATGAGTATTGTGTAGCAATCAACTTATGTAGATGATTGGAATAGGATGGTGTTGATAAATGTTGGTAACATGGATAACATGGATAACATGGATAACATGGATACTACATGGATAACATATGTAACATGGATAACATGGATAATTCTCACCATTGAGATGGAACGGTACATCATCACGCCGTCGCCCAAAGGCTGGGACCACAGAGTCCACCAGGTGCTGTCAGGTCTTCGCCCACGACCGTGTCCGCCAGTAGTCAATCAATTGGAGATGCAGCACAGATTTCATGCAAACGAGTTCCAGCAACCTGCACAATTCTCATGCTTCTCCATATTTTTCTTGTGAAAAGTAGCCTAGCAATCATATCAACACAATTCTACTGGTTCATATCACCCAATGACATATCTAGTACTTTCTGGTCATCCAACCTGGCAAAGGAAACTCGCTGATTTGATTGCCGAAGAATCGGTCTTGGCTACATGTTCTGAAGATGGATGGTGAATCAGCAAGTCAGACTGCATGATACTCCGTGTCCCACTTTTTCCAGGTCCTTCGAAAAGACCGAGGCGTTTTGGACTTTGCAAAAGGTGGGTTTCTACCGAGGATTTACCATCGGATCCCCTTATGGATCCCCTTATGGCGAACCAGGGATTCTGCAGCGGATTTTGGGATCCCATAGGACCTGCAAAGGACGACATAGCGACGGCGTCGAAGGGGCTGTGCTGCTGGGCTTTGCTTTGCAAAAGGTGGTGAAAAATGGGAAGAATCATAGCCAGAGATCTTGGAAACACTCTCTGATTGCATCAACATTTTGGAAATGGAAGCTGATGGTGTGGTTGGGAGTATAAGAAATGTCCTGAAGGATATGGCATGGAATCGGGAAGCATACTCATGAATTCCACATGATACATCACAGCCTTGGCTCTGCCTTTGTGAATTCATAGGGTTGTTCCACTGAAAGCTGGTGTACGAAGATATATTACAGCATATTACAGCTATTTTTCAGCTGCTGAATCGGAGTGACCTTGCGACGGAATTGTGTATGCAATGAAAATATCACGTGCCTGTCGGAGGCACATACCATTTCTGGCAACAGACTTGTACCAATTCTGGGTGTGGCTTCCTTTGCCCGTCTTGCCTATGTCAAAAACGTACCACCTAACAGAAATGTCCATGTCACCACAGAAAACATTACCACCTCATCTCAACTTCACGACAACCTGCCGGATGCTACAACAAAATTACCTGAAATTGAGGAAATTGGATCTGAATCAGGGAATACCCATATTTCCAACATGTCCTCAGCCTCAAGGCAGGATCCTCTTTGGTCACAGCAGTCTCATAGTCGGCGTTTCGTCGTGTGGGGTGGATGGTGAGAGAGCTGGGATTTTGACTCTATGGACTCCCAAATTGATGGAACTATCGTAAAACAAAGAAACACGCTCCTGTCCAACATTAGTGGTGCCCAAAATCAGTGATGTAAAGATCGCTCTATGTGCGACTGTATGATGCCCTTCGTGAGTCAAGTTGATCCGCCATCCAAGTCTCGCAAATTTCAACATCACAAATAGGATGGCTGATTTCTGGTTCTTAACAGGTGAAAACTTGGTGCCATGAAAAACAGCAAAGCAACCCTTTCCAGTCCATCATCCACCCGCACCAGCTTGGGACTCATAGTCAGCTGCATCGGCTGTGGCCAACATTGTGAATGTTTTTTCTCCAACCAGCATGTTTTTCATCTCTGGCAGTGGCTATCTCATTGCCATTCTCAGTGATTTTTATTGGTGATTTGGTGTCTATGTAACATTTTTCCCCCAAACCATCGCAAGTTTTGCTCCCTCAGGTCATGAAGGCAGTGGCGTCCACAGGAGGTTCAGCCTTCCCCTGGCGTGGATCAGCGGCTGGATACGAATGTCGTAAAGCCAATAGTCCAAGAAATCAACCAACTTTCACAATCATCAGTTGGTTGCTAGTTGGTAGCAAAATCCAATCAGCAAATGGATTGGTTTTGTTGGGAAAATCGAAACCGGAAACCATCGATTTTCCCATGAAATTCATCTTCGTTTTCAGATGGAGGTTTCCTATAAAATAGGGCTACCCCCAGTTCTCATCCATTTTAGATTGGGATTGTCCATGAAAGAAACCATACCCTCTGGTAAACATACGAAAAACTATGGAAAATCACAATTTTTCTTAAGTAAATCAACTATAAATGGGCCATTTTCAATAGCTATGTTAGTTTACCAGAGGGTCATCCATTGAAATAATCCAACCATCCCTGACCCACCTGGGTGGACCAGAACTTCAAGGTGCGATCGAAGGCCACCGATCCGATGTAGTGATGGCCTAATGCCACAACAAAAAAGGATGGTCCATTCATAAAATGGACAATAGATATAGTTATCATATATATGATATGTATATATATATATAATATATATATAATATATATATAATATATATATATATAATATATATATATATATAATATATAGCAGCACAACCGCCCGGATGCCTGGGACCACACTGGCACTGCTGCTGACACCGCTGCCCACCGGCAGTGTCGCTTGGCCTGGACAGAATTCTTCATGTTCCCCAAGGCATGCCTCGGGGTCATCCCCGGAGGGCGTGCCAAGCAGCGCCGCAACCACAACCTTGCCGCCAACCGCCTGGAACGCTGGATCTTGGGCGAACGGCGGGCACTTTGGGACGAGGTTGTCGGCCGCCGCCGGGGGCCTGTCGCCTCTGACCAGCAGCGTGACCCAGAACAACGGCAACGTGACGCTGCCATTCAATTGGCACGCCGAGGCCTGCCTGGTAAGGCCATGCAACGGCTCAGTGGTGCCCCACTTGCGGAGCCCAGCCCAGCAGTACTTGCAGCCATGAGAAGCAAATTTCCAGGGAGGCCTCCGCACCAGGCCACGTCCTCCCGACCAGCAGCCCCACCTGCCAATGAAGCTGGCGTTGAGGACGTTGTCAGGGCCATTCGCAGCTTCCCCCGCGGCGCTCCTCCTGGCCCCACTGGTCTCCGCCCTGACCTGCTTCAGCAACTTGTGAGTGGCTCTGAGGAACGGCCGGCTGCACACCTGCTGACACAGCTGGTCAATTTGTTGGCTGACGGTCAGGCTCCTGCTGGGCTCCGCCCTTATGTTGGCGGTGGTCGTGGCACTGCCTTGCAGAAGCTCTCCAAGACTGGCACTGCCGATGTGCGGCCGCTGTGTGCTGGGGAGGCGCTCAGACGCCTTGTCGGGAAAGTGCTCCTGCGCTCCGAACTGCCTGCGCTGAGGGCCCACCTCTTGCCCCATCAGCTCGCAGTCGGGGTCAGCTCTGGGGCTGAGGCCATGGTTCATTTGCATCGACAATGGGTGCAGCGCCACAGCCATGACGCTGACCGCGTCTGCTTGTCCTATGACGAGGGGAATGCCCACAATGCGGTTGACCGCCACTGTTTTTTGACTCGCATGCGTGAGGTCGTTCCTGGTTTGGGTCGCTGGCTGGAATACATCTACCCCACGAACGTGGCCACCAAGGTGTTCTTCCACGACCAGATCATCGAGTCCGTTGCAGGAGGGCAGCAAGGATGTCCGCTCATGATGGCCTGCCATGCAGTTGTCCAACGGCTACTGCTGGAATCGCTGGGTCTTGTCCCGCCGCTGGAGGGCAGCAGCATTCAATTGCCTGTGCTGTCTCCTCCCGCCCGGCTTGACATTGCCCCATGTTTTGCTGACGATGGCTTGCTTGCTGGGCCCTCTGCAGAGGTCCTTCGTTGCCTGCGCCATTGGCAGGGCGTCTTGCCTCAGCTCGGGCTGCGGCTCTCCAGTGCCGTTGTTGCCCCTGCTGTTGCGCAGGCCCCCATTGACTACACTGGCTTCGTCACCCTTGGCTGCACTGTCGAAGCCCATGGCAACTATGAGGTCCTGCGCTCCCCCACCGGTGCAGATTCCTTTTGTGTGGCTTATTGCAAGGAGCGGGCTGCCAAACAGGTCGACATAGTTCGACGTGTTGGCCAACTGGAAGATCCGCAAGTTGGGTACTACTTGCTGCGCTTCTCTTGTGGCGCTGGCCGCATGACCTACATGGCCCGCACAACACCAGCACGGCTTTGTCGCGATGGCCTCCTTGCCTTTGACAGTGGCGTTCAAGCCTCTTTCACTGAGCTGACTGGCTTCCATCCCGACGCCCTGGCGTGGGAGCAAGCTACCCTCCCTGTGCAGCTTGGAGGCCTGGGATTGCGGCCCGCTGCCGGTATTGCCGATGCGGCGTACATTGGCTCTCGTGCAGCAACTTTCGAGCGTTGCAATGCTTTGTGGCCTTGTTTTCAATGGGATTCCAACCTTGGTAGCGACTTGTCTGTTGCCCTCCAACACTGCTGGGATCAGCTTCGCACTCCAGTATTGCCAGTACCTTTCCAATGGGACGACCACACCACGCTCACGCAAACCCATTTAAGCAGCCTTGTGAGCAAAACCCTGTTGGATGGATGGTACAGCCGGGCCGGCAGTGATGATGCCTGCCGCCTCCATGCCTACGCAGTCGATGGTTCCGCTGCTGCGCTAGGGCTCACACCTTCACACACACTTGACACCACTTTATCCAGATCCGATTTCCTTGCCATCCTCGGAGGTCGCCTGGGAGTCGATGTGTGTGGCGGTGGGCCTTGCCGCTTCTGCGGTAAACCTTCTGATTGCAAAGGCCGCCATGCTCTGAGCTGCATGGCTGGCGGCGACCATGTGGCCCTCCACAACAGTCTTCGCGATCTGGTGTTTGACTATTGCCAACGGGCTCAGGTCCGCCCAGTGCTTGAAGCCCCCGGGCTCCTGAATGGCCAGCGACGCCCTGCAGACGTCTTGGTGCGGTCCGCCACTGGTCTGGTGCCTCGCTTGCCTGACGGCGCGCAGCCCCACAACCCACCTCCATTGGCATTAGACATCGCTGTCGTGAATGCTTTGGGGGATACCCATTGGGACGCCACACGACAGGCGGCTGGAGCTGCCTGCTTGGCCTATGCTCAGCGCAAGCGGGCTCACAATAGGACTGCGGGCCTGTGTGAAGCTGCTGGGGTTCGCTATCTCCCCTTGGTCTGGGAGGCGCAAGGTGGGAGCACGCCTGAGACTCGGGCCTTTGTCCACCGCCTGTGCGGGGCAGTTGCTGTGGTCGAAGGGCTGGATCCCGGAGTGGTGAAGAGCCGGTTCAGTGACCAAGTTGCTGTCTTGCTGGCTCGCGCCAGCGGGCGGGCCATTCGTCGCCGGCAAGCTGTCGTGGGAGACAGAGCCGGCCTTCCCCTGGACCTTGGTGCAGCATTGGCTTTGGACCCATGATTCCATGAAGTTGCTGTTGATCTCACGGTTTGCCAGCATCTTCTTCTTCACCTGAGTGGGGGCTGCTTTTAGTTTCCGGACTGAAGTTTTTTCTTCTCCCAAGGAGATGTTTTTCCTCTTCCTTTTTTTGAGGCGCTGCCAGTGGCCATTCAGCCTGGCTCAATCAGGGCTTGGTTCCCCGCCACCGGCATTCGGGTCCTAGACCGTAGCTTTCGCAACCGCTGGCACATCACTTGGCTAGCTATATATAATATATACATATAAATCATAGTAATATAAAATAACTATAATAACAAAAATAATGGAACAAGAACTACATTAGTTATAGTTATTTTGACCACTAGTACATCATAGTAAAAGCAGTTCTATAATGAATGAAGAAACTATCATGCTCATTCATCGAATAATCCTAATTAGTATGAATTATGGCAAATATATATATATATATTATATTACAACAATGATCTATGGATAAACATGGATATGTATTTTGCATATCATCTTCAAATTGTTCATAGATTCGATGTTTTAATATATCATCTAGATATGTTATGTAATCACAATACCCTCTGGTAAACTAACATCGGGGTAAATCCCATATGATCCCATGATTCACCATGGTTAACCCATGGCTAAACCATTCAATCACCATGCTATTCATCACCATTTATAGTGGTTAAATCATGTTAAATCCCAATTTTCCCATGGTTTTCCCATGGTTTACCAGCATTCTCCCAGGGTTTCCCTAGGGGATTCAACATCTCCAAAAGCCCACGGTATCGCTGTGGGCTCCCACCACCCACAGCCGCAGGGATGTGATCGGCTCCCATGACACGACCTTCGTGGCCGATCAGCACCTGGCGAATGGACTTCCCATAGATCAATGTAGTCATGAAGCGTGTATAAACGTGTACAAATAGATATTTAAATCAATATTATTATACTTATATACTTATATATGGTAATTACATACTTATATATATGTATATATATATATATATTGATTCTATTTTGGCAGTGTCACAACGAAGCGTACGCTGCGGCCATCGCACTTGAATTCAAGTCTTCGCAAGATCTACCGGGCATAGTCCGGGCCGAAGAACAGCAGAGCGTGGGGCACCCTGTTTAATCCAAACGCCTTTCGGCAGATTGCTGCGCCAACGTCTCCAACCTCTTTCAGCTTCTTGTTGGAAACACGGAGGTTGTTTGTTGGACTTGAACCTTAACGTTGTTCGCCAACACCTTGCGAAGGATTTTTTTTCAAGTGTCCTCGACTCCAGGGTTCGACATTGCGAGATGTCTCGGATCCGTTGGATAGGCTCAAGCACCGGTGTTTTTGCTGCTGCTGCTGCTGCTGTTGTTTTTACTATGTATATATATAACATGTATATATAAATGGAATGAATCTATGCTACACAAGCGGGCCCAGTATATAAATACTTGATGTGATATCAACTTATGATTGTCAAACATGATCCACTTGTTTATTGGATGGGTGTGGGTTAAGCAGGTCCCATTAAATTAACTCAACCAATTTGATTGGTAATTGCTGATGGAATTACATCAGCTATGTCATATTCTACCCCTTTCACCCAAACTGTGGGTCATTTTTCTCAGTTCTTTGTCTGGGAAATGGTCTTTGACAAACCTTAAAATAGCAATTTGAGGTGTCTTCCCCTGTGAAAAATATACATATAATATAATTTGTGTAATCAAGCATGGCTATGGAAGAACCTGCGATGATGATGATGATGATGATGATGATGATGCTGATGATGATGATGATGATGTGGATGTGCCATCAACACATGATGTAACACATGGTGATTTCCACGGATTTGCATTGCGATGTTGGTTGACAGGATGATGATCAACATTCTGCCCTAGGATCACTGGCAACCCCTGCGCGACCTTAACGACCTTCCAATCGGTGGTGGAGCAAATCTTCACGGTACCGTCGTAGCTGGAAGTCAACCTTAGAATTTGCTGGTAGAACAGGCCAAATTGCCACAGAAAAAATGGAGATGGATAGACATGGTTCCTCATATTTTCGTTAGAAACGTCATCGTTTGGATTGTTTAATTGCTTACAATTGCCAGAGCAAAATGGCTCCGGTTCCTACTTTCTGTACAATGAGGTAAACCACCACTTACCATTGTTTAACTATCAAAAAGTAATGCTGAGTAGGGCTGGCAAAGGATAAAACAAGGACACTTGCTACACATAAGAGAAACTTAATTGTGGGGAACCTATGGACATCCAAATAAAGATGTGGGGATAAGAGAAACAGTATGGCAAACATGAACGGTTTATTATGGTTTATTTCCATCAGTTGATGAGCTGGCAACAAACGTGAACATACAGCTCCAAATAGGTCAATATGTTGATGTAAATATCAATATACCAATATTTCTTGGTACCATGCCCTGCCGAAAGGAGCCAGATTGTTTGACCGTGTCTATACCTCTGTGCTGTGTCTAAGTCCCGGGGTGCCCTGATGCCTGCTGGATGGCTGAGTCTCTTGTACTTTCTTGAGCCGTTGGTGTCGGTTTCATCTGAATTGGACAGATCTTACCAAAATGGCCCCTCACCACCTGCGATCATCCATCCCAACCCCACTGGCAGGCAACATGAGGCGTCCCTCACCTCTTTCAAAGCTCACCTGCGTCCCAAGGAAAGATGTGAAGATTTCTGCAGATTGGACGCAATATCAATTGACAACTGACAACCTTGACAAAGGCATCAAACTTATGCTGGGTGAAATCCCGAACAAGACCCAGGTAAAGAAACACCATCCATTCTGAGGAAACTGCAGTTCCACACATGTTACCTCGGGTTCAATGGCTGCGTGTCACGCCTCGGAGATCAGCTTGTTGTGCAGCAGCAAGTTATGAGTACACCTGCCATGGAGCTGGAAACTGGGATTGGGGCAGCTGAGCGACCCCAGGAGCTGGAAGTTGTACCAGAAGATAGGCACTGTACAGCTTTCAAAGGTGTGGTAAAACACAAAAACATCTCACACTTTCATGGGTGTGCAGCATCAAGACAGTGGCCAACATGGCAACACACACCTGGATGAACTACACAGTTCGAATTCCTCTGGAATCTTTAAAACTGTTTGTCAACTCTTTTTCCAGGATATCACGTTTCACATGACACACTTTCCCAAAACTAATAGTTGTTTTTTGCCGCATCAAAATAAAAGAAGAAAGCCATCATTTCCGAACCGCCAACTTGCTGCAGTTCCAATTATCATTGGATATATTTCACCATAGTTATACGGGTTACATCCCAACTGAGGAACTACCGGTTGTTGAATTTGTCTATCAAGAGCCCAAAAACTCCCCCCCAGAAAAGCTATCATATGTCATTATACCCCCATTATATATATATATGTATCCTTTTAAATCCCGTTAAATCATATCCTATTATATTCCCACTATAGCACCACGATATTCCCATTATATCCCCATGTTATATCAATGTTGATTATTATTCCCATTATATTCCAATTGTATTCCCATTGTAACTATATCACATCATGTTGATTTTGGTGATTTGGGGCCATTTGGGGTATGGTTTATGGCATTGTTCTACCCACATTATCTTCCCATGATATCCCCATGTTGTACCCCAATTCTCATTCAGAATTATATTCCCATACTGTATTCCCATGACCTTCCTATATTGTCTTCCCATTATAACTATATCACATCATGTTATACCCACATGATATTCCCATGATATTCCCATTCTACCCACAGTCCCACAGTATCAACTCCCATTCAGAGAACTGGCCACGCTCCGCCACTGCTCCGCCTCCTCTTGCGCAAGTCCCAGATCCTCACGCTGTGGTCGTCGCTGGCAGTGGCAAGCACCGTGCCACGTGGGTGGAAATCCACCGCCATGACCTGGAGGAGTTTCACGGTGGTTTCCCTAATGGCTGGGGATCCATACAGCAGATACTCTCTGGTAAACAGTCCAAAAACCATGGGAAATCACTACTCGTATAGCAGGAAAATCAACTATTTCTATGGGCATTTGAAAAATAAGCCATGCTAGTTTACTGGAGGGTATTTATAATGATGTATAATTTTGTGATGGTGTATAATGATATATAACATATAAAATTGGGAACGCATTATAAATGACGGTGGATTTATCCAGATGTTCCTAAAATAGTGGTTTATAATGGTGGCTTCCCCCAGTTCTCATCCATTTATAGATTGGGATTTTTCATGAAATAAACCATCTAGCTATTGGGGTACCTTCATTTATGGAAACCCCCACTTGGGGGGATGACAGCTTTTGGGATCATCTGAAGGGTCAAAATTGAAACAACTAGGGACCAATGGATGAAAAAGTCTATGGATGATCATCTTCAGGTGAAACAAACAACTGTGGATGATCAAACAACTATGGATGAAAACGTCGAGCAAAAAAAACAAGCAGCTTCCTTCTAAGCCTAAGGCGTGTCTCCAAGTGAACTTTAATGGGAGACTTGAGGAGTTCAAAGGGCCCCGGGTGTTGAGGCATGATGCAAAGGAACACAGATCCCATTTTGAGGATGCCAATCCCAATTAATCACCTACTCCCATTTCTGCTGATTTTCCATCGTTAATTGGGGATTGGCTCCAAACTATTTGACACCCAAAAATGGATGCTCTTAAACACAACAACCATATATTTCTGTGTCCATGGGTACCCCTCGATACCCAACTCACCATTCCATGGAAGCACTATCCCGCTCCACAGGAATGCCATCCCGATCGCAACCCCCCATACGTTCGTTACTATAAATTGACCACAAATATGGTCAGTAGCCCTGCGATGTCCTGATTGGTTGCATCCCAACGATGCCGGGGAAAACAGCGAGAGTCAGTATCCTCATTTGTAATCGATACAAACTGCACCAAGATTATTCACCCCTTCCGAAGAAAAAAAGATGATACGAACAACATAACCAAAGTCTTGTGGGTGGATCCATTGGTGGCCCCCTTTTTGGTTACCATAACCATATATGAAGTATCATTACCAATTCTTTGGTTTTCAATGGGGGTACCCCTCTACTAATTAACCGTCAAAATTCTTCGGAAGAAATGGCACCAAAGAATTCGTACCCGTGGCATCCCCATTAAATAACCAATGTTAACCACTGGGAACTTAGTACATCTCCCCACCTGCTTCCCGTGGGCTGCCAGTGGCATGACCGTCTTGCCACTGCGCAAGTCCCACACCTCGAAAACCGAAGGCTTGAAAGGTGATGCAGTGAAAAAGCATCATGGGCAGCTTTGCCGGCAAAAATATATCATGTGAGGGTGTATATCTATATATATATAATATTCATGAATATTCTATCTTGTATTCTATCGCTTCCTCACTTCTCCATCCATTTCCATCTCCCGCTGGGTGCCGGTGGCTCGCACCACTCCACCCAGGTCGGAGGTGGCGACCAGGGAGCCGTCCGGGTGAACCGAACATCCTGACAGAACATGGTGATATCATGGGATTGTCATGGGATTATCATGATGGTTTAACCACTAGACATGGTGGATTTAATGGTGACTGAAGGGTTTAACAATGGCTTAACATTGGTGAATAATGGGATGATCATGGGATATCCAGTCAACTAACAGTTTGCGAGGAAGCCATGGACCATTTAGTGGTGATTTTCCCATAGTTGTGCTGGTTTACCGGAGGGTAATGGGCTTGCACAGAAGTTTCCATTGTAGTTGGAGCTTACCCACATCAGGGAGGTTTGCTCCAGTTATGGGGATCATCAGATTCACTGTGGGGATGGATGTAGTTGAAACCACAGCAGGTGGGATATGATAGGAATGAACAACGAAGAAGTTTGAGACACCAACCAAAGTGGCTGGACAACACTGCTTTTTGGGTCTGCCATCAACGACTGTAGTTGCAACTTCATCACTGATGATGGCATAGAATGTATGTCATACATAGAGGGACTAATGCAATATGTAAGATGCGGTTGAAACAGAAGTCGTCGCAGCCAAGTCACCATAAACTGGTCTTGAGTGACCTTCCTGCGGCCGCTGGGTGGAGAGGGGGATGATGTGACTGGCACCTGGAAGTCATTACCTCTACTATCGTCGACCAGGTCCAAAAAGATATGGGCTGTTCCTTGAGTCTCTTTTCATGGGAGCAAAGTGCCACAGTACACCGAAGAAAACACTGATTTTGTGCAGGTCCTGCAGCAACAACTCCGTGGTGGTTTCCACGTCCCACAACCGCCAACTCATATCCTCAGGTTGGTAACAAAAGGGATGACATATGACATGAGCAAATCAGTGACATCTTACCTTGGACTGAAAATCAGTGCTCCACAGTCTTCGCTGCTTCGTGAATCACCTGCCCATGGCTCAGCCAAGTCTCATGAGAGGTGGAGATGAGGTGTTCGCCCATGGGATGGAACCTCGACAATGCAGCCGATGCTGATGTGATGACCATAAAAATCATAAAAAACATACGATGATATGCACAGAAGTGGACATAGAACTGGCTTCTAATTGGGATGGGATGACCTTCCAGCTACAGCCTCACCGTGGCCCTCACGTCACGATCAGTGCGCTGTTTTGGTCGGATCCCGCGCCCAATTCTGAGGACATCACGCAATTCTATTGACTCGATCCTGGCAAGGGCAGCGCAGTTTCCCAACCTACATACTTTCTTCCTTTCAACTAGGTGAATTGTGCAAGTTACTACATACAGCCATGGGAGTTTGCGGGAAGTCCAAGGTTCTTGCACAATGTCGCAATTCATGAGGTAATCCATATTAAATGCAACTTAGCAGTGGCAACCCTGGTGATATTCCTGTTACTGAGAAACCAGCTGGAGCCACTTAGATCCTCATGTTGGACACCAAACACCCCTGAAATTTCAATTGCAAAAATGAAGGGCAAGGGCCGCCTCGTGCCCCTCAAGCACGTTCACAGGTTGGCTATCTGAGAGAGACCAAAGGTTGATCCTGACGCGACGGCGATGCTCGGGATGTTCCATGGTGGAAATGGCTATGGGAATTGTCAAGTCTTGAATGATAGGTTCTGACTAAACACTAACCTCAGAAATTTTGCGAGCTACTCACCTGCTCTATTCTTGGACTTCTGACTCTCAAAAAGCCCATAGGCCATCATCTGGTACTTGATGCTTTAATATCCTTAATTTTTCTTGGATACCACCAAATAAAAACAATTTGTAATTTTGTTGCTGCCCCACTCAGTTAAACACACATTTTTACGTACGATTAAGCCTTGCTGGCCTCCACACTTTTAGCGGTTGGTTTTCACAGAAAGCACCAAAATCTTGTGAGTTTCTGTCCCGTTGACCGTCAAAACATCCTTTCACAAGCCATAAACGCCATGAAGACTTGGTGGTTTGTGAATGCCCTACTAAATGTTCAAACTCTAGGCGGGCACATTCATCCAGCCATCTATCATGGCTGATAGCCTGGAATCCGCTGATCCCGACGCCAAGCGAACGGTGTTACCTGGCCAAGTGGGAACAGAGGGGACAATCTGCAAGATGGCTCCAATGATATTCTCCTTGGAGGGAATCCTACATGCAGAAAGGATCTCTGAATTTTAGATGAAGCTGGATGGAGTTTTTGAAGCTTTCCTACCTATATTTGGCTCTACGTCCTATCTTGACAGAAACAACTGATGGCATTTCAACTAAGACTACCCTCGCCCAAGTCATGCATCTGAACCAAGCAGCGACCGGGTACCCGTGCCCTCAAAGGGTGGAGTTCCCTTGCACTGCGGATGCCATGCAATGCTGTTGCACCTAGCAATGACGAACTGTGGAAGGGGGCAAGGGAAGATGGTGATGGATAATGCAGGACACTTGTGTTGAATAATGCAGGACACCTCTAAAAACTTGTGTTTTTTGCATCAAGAATGACCTCGTCAATGACTCCCTTTGTGATTTTCTCCAAGCTCCGCCTATCTTCGTGTCCACGAATGGTGAGCACCGGATCACAGGATGGCGTCTTCCAAAGCTTGATGAAGCCGGACCTTTGGGGATTCGCAACGGATTTAACTGAGATTCACAATCCATGAGGCCATTGAAATGTGCCATTTTTACCGGGCCATAACTGGCAACTCGGGGCCCAAACCAACTGGAGGTGCAAAACAGCTGCGCATCAGGAGAGAACTTGCCCTGCGTCAAGGGGCGTTCATCACCCACCTTCGCGGTGCAGAGATCTGATCCCGAAAATTGGGAGGAACCATGAAGAAAGCCATGAAGAAAGGCAGGAAATAAGAAACACCCATGCCATATTTAATGGATTTTTTAAAGGGAAAATTGCAGGACCCCCCATATTTCATGGTAAAAACCATGGTTTCCTGTAGATTTGCCCACCAATCCAATGCCATATGGGTCACGGGTGGCCTGGGAGACTTCTGCCACCATGGATTTCTGCAGGAACATGCAGAAGCGATCGATGCGCTCCTGGGTTGATGTCTTTGGAAGCAGCTTGGGGGCTGAACATCACCAAACATCACCAAGAGTCAACCGGACTTTGCTCCAACTAGGAGGGAGATAACAAACTGGTGGGTGTTTCTCCCAAACTTATCTCGCAATGAGCTAAGCCTCGTTTTGTTTAAGCTATCCCATAATTGTTGAATGGGATTCCCCAAGTCACCATTTTGGTTGACATCTACACTGTCATGGCACCTTAAGGAAGTCAATATTTCGGACCATGGTTCAAAGCCCTTGCAACTGGCATGCATGGCCAATGTTCAATACCATTTCAATAGTCTTGCACTATATTCCCATTTATGCCAGAAAAAGACCGCCCTTGGCCGCTTAAAAAAAATGTTGAAAACGACATCCATAGCAGATGGATTGCCGGCAGCTCTCCTCTTGTTCCACCGGATCCTGGTCAAAACGCTGCCGGCGCTCCTTCACCTCAAGACCCGGTCGGGGAATCTTTGTTGAGTCCACCTAGAGTTGGGGACTACAACACACACCAAACAGGAAACACTGACGAAGGTTCAGCCCAGCAATGCCGATAACAGCAAGAATGAGACTGTCAGCAATCATGAGAGCATCCGGAATGCTGCGGAAAGGTGGAAATCAACAATGTAAATGACAGTTTGGTTTCATGCACATTGGGTTCAAGTAGAAACTCTTTATATCTGACTGCTATCGTTTGGCACCAGGCCCCAATCACAATTGCGGTCAGGGTCCCCTGGCCAAGCGCTGGTTTGCCCGGGGAAGCGACCTTAGAGAATTGGTTGTGCTGGCTTTGGATCCCCAAATCTCAGGGTTGAGACTCGGTTGAGATGTCATTTTCCCTGAAAAAAACGTAAAACTGGGCGCTATTTTTGAGCAAATCCAGGTTCATGGACGTTTCAAGGAGGTGTTTTTGGGGTTCTGGCTCAGGATGCTGGGGACTCACCAGATGACAAGCCCTTATAGAAGGGAATCCTGAACAACCTAAACAAACGATCAATTCATCAACTGAAAGTTCATCTCCAAAACAGTCTGTATTTTTGGGTCCTGAGAGACAACCACGAAGACATCACCGAAGTGGCGATGGGGATGGTCAGTAGGCATGGGTCTGAATTCTACAAGCGAAACGTTGGGCTGGAAGAAGCCATATAGAAAAGCCAACAAGGGAAATGTAATATGGTGTCAATGGGTCAGAGTTCGAGTCCATAAATGGAATCCACGACTAGTCGCTTGATTTTATTTGACGATTCTTGGGGCCCATTTTGATGGGCACTCACATTGGACACACAATTCTGCAAGGAATTCAGATGGCACGTTGGAACCGAGGGTCAATCCCAGATGCCCCTCACCAGCTGCCACAGCACATCTGGGGGCTTCCTAAAATGGGGGTAGCCCCAAACCATCCATTTTAGATTGGGATTTTCCATTGTAAACCATCCAACCATCCAGCTATTGGGATACCGTGACTTAGGAAACCTCCATTTCAAAGTCAAGGTGCCATTCAGCAATCTTTACCCTCGCTTCCAACAGCTCTTCCACACCTTCGGTGTAAAACAGGTCCTGCGGCAGGTCCCATCCCACCAAGTGTAAACCCGCAAGAAACGGCAGGTTACTTTGTGTATGCAAATCTCCAATCCCAAGCCACAATTGGTATGAAACTAATTTAAACACGGAACTAAATAAAAATACCTAGATAAAGGAATCACATATATATATATATTCTCTATATTATATCTAAAGCATATCCTGAAAAATACTTCACCATAGAATATATTCCCAATTCACCAACTTTCACCCCTGGCCTAAATTTTACCTGCGGTCCTCATCACCGGTGGATTCCTGTCGCTTGGCATCCAAGGTGGGCGCCGTACCTGGTGATGTGATTGACCATGGCTGAGGATTTTTAGGATCTGAAACATTTCTCAAATTGTTTTTTTGGGTCAACAATCTGTTGATCCATACTCAATTAAGGGATTTGATCCCATTCAGCTATGGTCTCTGTGCATTTTCCTACCTTTCAATAGCCTTTCGTGTCATCATGAAATGAATCACATGAGCCTCAACAAAAATCACCGAGCGGGTTCAGATCCTTCATCAAATTTGTAGGAAACTAACTTTCTTCAAACATCTACAGTCTGTCTAGTAATCCGTCTCCAGCTTCCAGATTGCCACCCTTCTCTACCGATGTCTGGAACCTTTGGCAGTCCAACAAGATCACACCAGTTCCCTCCTTTCCAGGGTTGTTTGCGTTGCCTTCATACATATCTGCGTTTCGCGGGGGGTGCCCCAACCACTAATTGAACCACCATTTCCACTGTTCAACACCCAACATTGGCAATTTCTTTAGTCTATTGCCTCAACCAATAAACACCCAAAGAACCCCTGGTTGAGCGGCTGGAACCCTTCATTTTCAGGTCTCATATGGTGGAACCATCCTGGGCTCCCGCACGCCCGGCCATGATGGTGCGCAAACGATCTCGTCGTTCATAGGGACCTTCACCGAAGATGCAGGCCTTGCGGCGCAAACGCCTGGGGAAGTGTTTATCAGAAAAACACCAAAATGGAAGCAAGAACAATGTGTAGTTAAAATGATGATGATGATGACGACGATGACGATGACGACGATGACAGTGATGATAGTGATTATTATTATTAGTAGTACTATAATCATTGTTATTATCATCATCATGAAGTCTATTATTATGAGGATCATGATGAGGACTTGCGAGTTTGGGTGCATATATGATTCTCGCATCCCAATACACTGCTCTACGACATGCTCATGAAGCAAAGATCTTCCCCAGAAACATTTTGGCATGATCTTCTGAGCAATGGGCATGAGCTTCGGCATGAACAATTGAATTCTTAACATCTCAACAACTTCCACCATTCCAAAACCAGTTCCCAAAGGTTCCGCTGGGAGTGCCCCACTGGCTCGCCAAATTCGCGCAGCTTTGCTTTCACTTGGGCATCACCTGTTGGAACGGCCATCCTCAGTGAGGACGGGGCGCTACGTTTGTGGAACTGAAAAAAAACTGGGCTTTTGGGCATAGGACTATGATTGGAATTATGATACCCAATAATCCATAACACTATTTATCCATCATGTAATCAGAATGGTGAGTATATTCACTGGCAAACATGCTAAAACCTTTCGATCCTACCAAGGCAGATAAAATGTGGTCAAATGAGCTGTGTTCAAAACCCTCTATTGTCCCTTCGTACTGATGGGTTAATAGGGGTTCCCCGTAAATGGATTGTGATAATCCCCAAATATATTGGGTAGTAAAATCCCCGATCATCATCAACTAGCAGAGATACTGTATTTTCCGACTCCCCATGAAATCCCATGAAATAATTGCTCAGATGTCAATTTCAAGCAACATTTCCCCCTTTTAACCCACGATTTTCCATGAAATCACTGTGGAAACCGCTGGAATTCTCCACGGCTGGGTGCCCCGGACTCTCGTTGCGAGCGCTTCTGCTCAAAGGCTCTCACGGCCTCCTCATGCTGTAACCTGGCGAATCAGCACTGGGCGTACCAAGATATTCCAAGATGGTGATGGTTGGTAAATGGTGATGAGATAGTTATGGACCAATGGATATGGTTATAGACTATAGATGACTAGATAGATAGTCATGGAGATGTACCATGATATGTATCTAATCATTGGGTGTGAATGGTGAGAGTTATACAGTTATGCATGACTAGAACTGGTTATACATGAGTATAAACAATTTTTAATGGTTCTAAATGGTTGCTCATGAAATTGTTCATGGTTCTGACTATATGTTGCCATTAAATCACATCGGAATTATTGATCGTTCTTCATTACTGGCTATTGCTGGAATGTTCAATGGATTTGTTGAAGAGAACAGATGCAGGATTTCATGAAATTTATCATCAGCTATGTCTGTTTTCCTTTAGTTTTTCCCCTTTGGCCAGTATAGTATCCTATAAATGCCAAAACGCCTTATTTGATGAAGAGAATTCACAGAAACGGCCATTGAAATTTGGGAGGAATTGCCATCATCAACATCCTAACTATTGTCAAATTTATGCTTGCCTTGAGGGTTGTAGGCCAGGGTCTTTACTCTTGATACGCATGGTCGCAACTATCTAAGTTGAAAATTTGGGATCGTTGATTCATTGGAATGTTGCTGATACTAGGCACTCGAAAGCGTCAGTGTTGGGATGCTTTCAATTTGCAGATATGGCGCGTCGCCAGCAAACATGGTAAATATCTCCAAGCAGAATCGGGACCAAAGCGAGAAAAATGGGACTTTAAGCAACCATGGTGAGACGACCAAGAGCTCGGGAAAATCCTTTGTTGGTGGCATCATCCACGACAATACAAGGCTTCCGAATACACACACACACGCATTTTTTTCAGGTAGTTTGCGTTTTCAATCCACTCCAGTGTGAAGCTGGAACCTTCACTGGATGAGTCTTGAAGGATGATTTTACACTTGGATATGGTGCTTGCCTCGGGCTCCAGTGTTGGAAAGATCTAGGATTGTGCTACCGTGACAGGTGCTGTTATTCCATAGAATTATCCATTGGACACCCAAAATGACATATTTTGAAGCACAATATCAAGCCTCTCTCCTTTAATAGTAGCTCAAACAAGACCCATTTACCAACCATGCACCAATAGGTTTGCCCAGATTTCCATCCCAGTTCGTGGTGCGGTTTTTATACCACTTGTACCAGTTATATCCCCGTTGGATCCCAGTTTAACCACTTGAAAAGCAGCGTTCAAAACTATACGTTATTCCAATGTATTTACTTCTTGGTCAATCGAGATTCCCATGGATTATGATAATCCCCTAGATATCAAGGGTAGTTGAATGACTCCCGAACATTCCCGAACCAATCATCAACCATCGTTGATCAAATGATATACCCAGTTGTTTTATGCTTAAATCCCCTATCCCAATGATGGCTCAATCGCCGTTCCTTTGGCCATTGCCACCCTATTCCTGGTGCCCTTGGTGTCCCATGCCTGGCTCGCGCCATGTCATCTGCATGCCCCGCCACGATGTCCGCATCGGATGGGACGTGGATGTTGGATCCCGTGAAGGCATCACCTGGGCGGGTAAGCGAGGCTGCTGTGCCATGGTCAGATGGGTAAATGTGGGGGTGATCTCAGCATCATTGGGGACTACCCGGTGACTACCCAATGAATGGCTTCAGGAGATATGACCTCTTAAAATGGGCGGAAAATGACAATCCCTTTCTATGGGAAAATCAAACGGGTTTTGACCATAGCACGTATTGGGGAAGTTGGGGTAGAATTCCTAGGCGTTTCTGTAAACTACGTTTTGACCACGAAAGTTGGTGTGGTTTCCAAATTACGAGAATTTCAGACTTGAGACTGGTCCAATATTAAGAAGGTTTTGAACTCCAAATGCCTGACGCTGGCTTCTGCAAGCTCTGCAAACTACGTGTCAGCTACTTGGAGACTTGCATTATTGTCGAACCCTGCCAGACAGCACATCAACGATTTGGCCATACTGGACAGTTTAAAATTGTGACATGACTTGTTCACCCCAAGAATCATTTTGTTTCCATGCGTCACGGCATCCCTCGGCATCCCGGACGGTCTTCTCCGGCACTGCCCAGGGCACCGGAGAGATCGCCATAATGGATGTGGTCTGCCTGGGTATGGATGTTATCGCCATGTTATCCCAACTGGGATGTTTCTGGGAAAATATTAAAAACCTTGGGATAATTCATGTAATTTCATGGGGTTAGCCCATAGATGGATGATGATGGATGTTATTTCAACTGGGATAATCAAACCTTGGGATAATGGGAAATAAGACAAACTCAGACCTGGAAAACTAATCATGGGATGGTGCCGTTTGCACTATCATTTTTCTAATGATTTTCCGTTTTTTTGTGAATTCCAACCCAGACATCTGGGGAATTGATCTTAGAAACGACACACCAGATTTCTTGGGCAATTCTTGGCTGGATCCCTTTTTGGTCTATCCTCTTACCATCATGTGTTTTGTCGGAGTTATCCAAAGAGAGGGATACCCTGCCTGCCATCGTTTTTTGGGAAGAACTTCTGCGAATATGTTTGAAACCCCAAATATGCACTTTTGTACGTGAGAACTAAACCATCACCACACGACTCCCAAGAATTCCTTCCGTGAGTGTTCCAGGAAGGCTGACATTAGGATTATTCACCATCACCTAGGCAAAAAACAAGATGCAGCCCACGAACCCGAATGCAGTCACGTAGAACACTTTGTGAAAGTAAAGTGTAGGGTCTGGAGTTTGGAGTGTGAAGTGTGGAGTGTAGAGTGTAGAGTGTGGAGGGTGCAGTGTAGAGTGTGGAGTGTGAAGTGTAGAATCTAAAGTGTAGAGTGTAAAGTGTGGAATGTAAAGTGTAAAGTGTGGAGTGTAAAGTGTAGAGTGTGGAATGTGTGAACTGTGGAGTGTAAAGTGTAAAGTGTGGAGTGTAAAGTGGAGTGAGGGTAAAGTGTCAAGTGTAGAGTGTGAAGTGTAAAGTGTGGAGTGTGAAGTTTGGAGTGTGCAGTGGGTAAAGTGTAAAGTGTGAAGTGTAGAGTGTAAAGTGTGGAGTGTAAAGTGTGAAATGTGGAGTGTGAAGTGTAGAGTGTGTAAAGTACAGAGTGTGGAGTGTAGAGTCTGGAGTGTAGAGTGTGGAGTGTGAAGTGTAAATTGTAAAGTGTGGAGTGTGGGGTGTAAAGTGTGGAGTGTAGAGTGTGCAGTGCAGAGTGTGGAGTGTAAAGTGTAGAGTGTAAAGTGTATTGTAAAGTGTGGGGTGTGGAGTGTAGACTGTAAACTTTGGAGTTTAAAGTGTGGAGTGTAAAGTGTAGAGTGTGGAGTGAGGACTGCAAAGTGTAAAGTGTGGAGTGTAGAGTGCGGTGTGTAAAGTGTAAAGTGTAGAGTGTAAAGTGTAAAATGTGTAGAGTGCAAAGTGTAGAGTGTAAAGTGTGGGGTGTGGAGTGTAGACTGTAAAGTGTGGAGTGTAAAGTGTAGAGTGGGGAGTGTCGTGTGTAGAGTGTGGAGTGTAGAGTGTGGTGTGTAAAGTGTAAAGTGTGGAGTGTAAAGTGTGGAGTGTAAAGTGTGGAGTGTGGAGTGTAAAGTGTAGAGTGTGGAGTGTGGAGTGTAAAGTGTGGAGTGTAAAGTGCAAAGAGTGGAGTGTAAAGTGGGGAGTTGGGAGTGTGGAGTGCAGAGCATGGAGTGTAGAGCACGCAATGCGACATCTGAAGTGCTGCGCCTGCCACGCAAAATGACGACAGAGATCTCAAAAATGCTGCGCCTGCCACGAAAACTGCAACTCATCTTGTGAAAACGGCGCAAAAGTATTGTGCCTGCCACAGAAAACCAATTTCGACACGATATAAAACAGGTTGGAATGTCACAAAATGCCACGCCTGCCAAGCAAAACGACATGACAACCTGCTTGAAAACCTTCGAAAAGGAGAGGTTTCGTAATTTCCTCCATAGACACGGCGAGGCGGGGCCACAGGAAAACCAGAGACTCGAGACGAGACACTTGGGCGCAGCAAAACGAGCATTTCGTGCGAGACTGCCGCTAATTTTGACACTTTGTAGCTTCAAAATCGACGTTCCTACGGGTTTTCTTAGGAACACCCTCAACCCCCAGACCCCCAGAGTGAAACGGGAACCCTTGCTACGCATTCGGGAAAAATGAATTATTGATCTTAGGCACCAACTTTTTGGGTCCTATCAGCCCCATGACCATATCCATGTGTCTGACAAAGGCGCCCTAAGAATCTACTGGTTTCTTACGGTTTTCCCCATTTTTCAATGGCCATTTTGTGGGTATATCCCATTACCACTTCTCCTTGGCGTCCGCTGAGCACTCTAAGCACCTGGCCATGATCGCACTTCGCCATCCACACCCCCAAATGAACCGAGAACTTCGCCAGTCCAGCAGAGTGATCACAGATGATCAAAATTTATGGAAAACAAACTCAACTTGTTGGAGCCCTAGAAGAAATCAACTAGCACCCAAAAAAATAACATAGACCCGGGCAAGCCGGCGGCGGAAGTTTCCCAAACATAAATGACCAATAGTTCAAAGACAACCTGTCCCGACCGTGTCCTTCCCTCGACACTCCACACCTCACACCTCACACTGCACACTGCACTCTTCGCACTCCAAACTTCACACTCCACACTTCACACTCCACACTTCTCACTTCTCACTGCTTCCTTCCCACTCCAAACCTCACACTTCACACTTCACACTGCACACTTCACACTTCACAGTCCACACTTCACACTTCACAATTCACAGTCCACACTTCACACTTCACACTTCACAGTCCACACTTCTCACTTCGCACTTCACACTTCACACTCACACTCCACATTTCACACTTCTCACTTCACACTTCTCACTTCTCACTGCTTCCTTCACACTCCAAACTTCACACTTCACACTCCAAACTTCACACTTCTCACTTCGCACTTCACACTCCACACTTCACAGTCCACACTTCACACTTCTCACTTCTCACTGCTTCCTTCCCACTCCAAACTTCACACTCCAAAACTCACACTTCACACTTCTCACTTCGCACTTCGCACTCCACACTTCACTCACACTTCACACTTCACAGTCCACACTTCACACTTCTCACTGCTTCCTTCACACTCCAAACCTCACACTTCACACTTCACACTTCACACTGCGCTCTTCGCACTCCACGCTTCACAGTCCACACTTCACACTTCTCACTTCACACTTCTCACTTCTCACTGCTTCCTTCACACTCCAAACTTCACAGTCCACACTTCACACTTCTCACTTCTCACTGCTTCCTTCCCACTCCAAACTTCACACTCCAAACTTCACACTTCACACTTCTCACTTCGCACTTCACACTCCACACTTCACTCACACTTCACACTTCACAGTCCACACTTCACACTTCTCACTGCTTCCTTCACACTCCAAACCTCACACTTCACACTTCACACTTCACACTGCGCTCTTCGCACTCCAAACTTAAACTTCACACTCCACACTTCACACTTCTCACTTCCCACTGCTTCCTTCACACTGCACACTTCACACTGCACTCTTCACGCCCCACACTTCACACTGCTCTAAACCTACGTGCAACAAAAAAACACTAGCGCCAAAATGGAGAAAATCTGCTAACAAATCCATGTCGCAGCCTTCATGCAGCCACTCCAAGACGATGTACGAGATCCAGCTGCAAAAGACATTACGCATGCAGCCAAAGCAAGAAGCAACCTTGACGCAGCCATTCCAATGCGATCTGCGGAGACTGAGTTGCAAAACACAAGAAAACTACGCGCAATGGCATCGGAAATTGTAGCTCCAAAACCGGATCTCGACGCCAGAGCGAAAAAAAAAGATTTTGAAGCACTTTTTAAAAGGATTTTTAGAAGGAAAATCACTAGCGCCAAAATGGAGAAAATCTGCTGACAAATCACTGTCGCAGCCTTCATGCAGCAACTCCAATACGATTTACGAGATCCAGCTGCAAAAGACAATAGTATTACGAATGCAGCCGCAGCACGAAGCAACCTTGACGCAGCCATTACAATGCGATCTGCAGAGACTGAGTTGCAAAACACAATAGAACTACGCGCAACGGCGTCGGAAATTGTAGCTCCAAAACCGGATCTCGCCGTCAGAGCGAAAAAAAGACGGTTTTGAAGCACTTTTTAAAAGGATTTTTAGAAGGAAAATCATTAGCGCCAAAATGGAGAAAATCTGCTGACAAATCACTGTGGCAGCCTTCATGCAGCCACTCCAATACGATTTACGAAGTCCAGCTGCAAAAGACAATAGTAGTACAAATGCAGCCACAGCACGAAGCAACCTTGACGCAGCCATTACAATGCGATCTGCAGAGACTGAGTTGCAAAACACAATAGAACTACGCGCAATGGCGTCGGAAATTGTAGCTCCAAAACCGGATCTCGACGCCAGAGCGAAAAAAAAAGATTTTGAAGCACTTTTTAAAAGGATTTTTAGAAGGAAAATCATTAGCGCCAAAATGGAGAAAATCTGCTGACAAATCACTGTGGCAGCCTTCATGCAGCCACTCCAATACGATTTACGAGATCCAGCTGCAAAAGACAATAGTATTACGAATGCAGCCACAGCACGAAGCAACCTTGACGCAGCCATTACAATGCGATCTGCAGAGACTGAGTTGCAAAACACAATAGAACTACGCGCAACGGCGTCGGAAATTGTAGCTCCAAAACCGGATCTCGACGCCAGAGCGAAAAAAAGACGATTTTGAAGCACTTTTTAAAAGGATTTTTAGAAGGAAAATCATTAGCGCCAAAATGGAGAAAATCTGCTGACAAATCACTGTGGCAGCCTTCATGCAGCCACTCCAATACGATTTACGAAGTCCAGCTGCAAAAGACAATAGTAGTACGAATGCAGCCACAGCACGAAGCAACCTTGACGCAGCCATTACAATGCGATCTGCAGAGACTGAGTTGCAAAACACAATAGAACTACGCGCAACGGCGTCGGAAATTGTAGCTCCAAAACCGGATCTCGACGCCAGAGCGAAAAAAAAAGATTTTGAAGCACTTTTTAAAAGGATTTTTAGAAGGAAAATCATTAGCGCCAAAATGGAGAAAATCTGCTGACAAATCACTGTGGCAGCCTTCATGCAGCCACTCCAATACGATTTACGAAGTCCAGCTGCAAAAGACAATAGTAGTACGAATGCAGCCACAGCACGAAGCAACCTTGACGCAGCCATTTACACTACGGGAACGATCCTACAGTTGCAAGTCACAATGGAATTCCATCAGCAACTCATCCACCAGCACCACTTGCAATTCCATCTACATTGCGGGAACGATCCTACAGTTGCAAATCACAATGGAATTCTGTCGACCACACATGCACGAAAAACAGTTGACCCCCCATTTACAATGCGGAACCGATCCGAGAATATCCGCCCATGATCCGAACATGATCCGACCACACACGAGACCGTCTCGCACCCGTCGCACCGCAGAGGTAGATCATCGAGGTTCGGGGACGGACTTTGTATGCAAAAACATAGGGTTTCCTGCATCTGCTAATCTCTCAAAAACGCATTTCGTGCGAGACTTCCTCCAAAACTCCATCGGCAACTATCCACCAGCACCACTTGCAACCCCATTTACATGCGGGAACGATCCTACAGTTGCAAATCACAATGGAATTCTGTCGACCACACATGCACGAAAAACAGTTGAAACCCCATTTACAATGCGGAACCGATCCGAGACCAATCCGAGGATGATCCGACCACACACGAGACCGTCTCGCACCCGTCGCACCGCAGAGGTAGATCATCGAGGTTCGGGGACAGACTTTGTATAGAAAAACATAGGGTTTCCTGCATCTGCTATCTCTCAAAAACGCATTTCGTGCGAGAGTTCCTTCAAAACTCCATCGGCAACTCATCCGGCAGCACCACTTGCAATCCCATTTGCATTGCGGGAACAATCAATGCCCTAACTAACTCTTGCTTTAACTAACCCTTTCCCTGACGAACCTTCGACGAACTCTTTCTTCGACGAACTCTTTCTTTGACTAACTGTTTCTTTGACTAACTGTTTCTTTGACTACCTGTTTCTTCGACGAACTCTTTCTTCGACGAACTCTTTCTTCGACGAACTCTTTCTTTCTTTGACTAACTCTTTCTTTGACTAACTCTTTCTTTGACTAACTCTTTCTTTGACGAACTCTTTCTTTGACTAACTCTTTCTTTGACTAACTGTTTCTTTGACTAACTCTTTCTTTGACTAACTCTTTCTTTGACGAACTGTTTCTTTGACGAACTCTTTCTTTGACTAACTCTTTCTTTGACTAACTCTTTCTTTGACTAACTCTTTCTTTGACTAACTCTTTCTTTGACTAACTCTTTCCCTGACTAACTCTTTCTTTGCTAACTCTTTCTGTGACTAACTCTTTCTTTGACTAACTCTTTCCCTCACTAACTCTTTCTTTGACTAACTTTTTCTTTGACTAACTCTTTCTTTGACTAACTCTTTCCCTCACTAACTCTTTCTTTGACTAACTCTTTCCCTGACGAACTCTTTCTTTGCTAACTCTTTCTTTGACGAACTCTTTCTTTGACTAACTCTTTCTTTGACTAACTCTTTCCCTCACTAACTCTTTCTTTGACTAACTCTTTCCCTGACTAACTGTTTCTTTGACTAACTCTTTCTTTGACTAACTCTTTCTTTGACTAACTCTTTCCCTGACTAACTCTTTCTTTGACTAACGCTTTCTTTGACTAACTCTTTCCCTGACAAACTGTTTCTTTGACTAACTCTTTCTTTGACTAACGGTTTCTTTGCTAACTCTTTCCCTCACTAACTCTTTCTTTGACTAACTCTTTCCCTGACTAACTCTTTCTTTGACTAACTCTTTCCCTGACTAACTGTTTCTTTGACTAACTCTTTCTTTGACTAACTCTTTCCCTGACATTCTAAAAGTCCGTAACACGGAAGTTTCTCCCACTAAACTTCCTTTGATTATGTATTTCTAATGTACCAAAAAACCCGCACAAGGCGGGTGGCGGAAAATTATCAACACCAAGGCATGTTGCACCATAGGAGTGAAGTGCAATTTGTGCCCATATGAAGCTTGTAATCTTTTCAATTCTTTTTGTGAATTCGCCCTCGCCTTTCCTCAGCCTTTTTCAACTGTGGTCAGCACTCCTCAGCCCTTCGCAGCCCTTCTCGTGCCATCTAAGCTCTTCTCAGCCCTTCGCAGACCGTCACAATTTTCTCACAAACATTCCCAGCTGTTCTCAACTCTTTTTATCTCTTCCCACCTCAACTCAATTCTTCTCGCCTTTCCACCTCTTCTCAACTTTTCTGAACGGTTCTCAACCCGTCTCAACTCTTCTCACCTCTTTTCAGCTCTCTCAGCGCTTCTCAACTCGTCTCACTCTTCTCACCTCCTCCCACCTCTTCTTAGCTTTTCTCAGTTCTTTTCAGCTCTACTTAAATCTTCTCAGCTTCACTCAACTCTTGTTACCTCTTCTTAACTGTTCTCAAATTTTGCCAATTTGTCTCAACTCCCCTCAACGCTTTTTACATCTTTCTCAGCCCTTTTCGATTCTTCTCAGCTCTTCCCACCTCCTCTCAGTTTTTCAAATCTTCTTCACATCTTCTCAGCTTTTCTCACCTCTTCTCCGCTCGTCTCAACTGTTCTCAATACTTCTCAACTTTTCACAACTGTTTTTACATCTTTTCTCATCTTTTCTCACCTCTTCTGAACTCTTGTCACCTCTTGTCACCTCTTATCACCTCTTATCAAGTCTTCTGATTTGTGGCAACAGAAATTGCAGATCCAAAACGAGATCTCCGCGCCAAATGCAACATTTACGATTTTGAAGCCGTTTTTACAAGACAGTTTAAAAGGAAACTGCCCAGCGCCAAGGCGCCAAACCTGAAAAAAATCTGCAGAAAAAACTCCATCGCAACCTTGATGCGGCCACTCCAATACGATTTACGATGACAAATTGCAACAAATTAAAGAAATATGCACGCAGCTGCAGCACCAAGAAACCTTGATGCAGAGAAAGTGGGACAGAGTGTGAAACCTAGGGAAACAATGGAGAAACAACCAGGAGACAATGGGCAATGGGGAGACAATAGACAGACAATGGGAGACAATCTGGAAAACACGTGGGAGACAAGCGGGAAAGAAGTGGGAGACAACTGAGACACAATTGGGAGACAATAAAGAAACAATAGCGACAATTGGGAGACAGCTGGGAGGCAAGGTTTCAAGGGCCTAGTGAAACACAATGGAGACACAGTGGAAGACAACTGGGAAACAGCCGGGAGACAACCAGTTCGAGGGGTCTTGGAGCCTTTGGTTCCCCATGGGCCAAAAAGACACTATGCTTCTGGAGATTGAAACCGAAGAGCTTCCTGCTGTTGGGAACTTATATACCATTTAACTTTCTTTTAAAAAGAACGTCTCATCATTCAGAAATAATCATTTCAACTATTCATAGTTTTCAATAACTTGTATGAAAAACCGTTGGCAAAACCCAAAACAAGTAAACTAAATAATATGTCATAGCAATAAACCACCAATTTGAAGAAATAACGCGTATTATGTGTATTGTCCAAATTAAATATACTTTCAAAAAATATATGGATACAAAAACACAATCAAATTCATTTCAAGATGCATCAAATAGGTTATATTAAACTGACATTCAGTCCGGGAGCGTGTGAATTCACCGGTGAAAACACGCTGGGACGCTTTCAAGCCTGTGTTTTTAAGGGTATGCTGGCTCCGGGGATCTGTGTGGACAGAATGATCGATGCAAGGAGAGTGGGCACCTGGTATGACACCGTGTTTAACCAATCAAGTGCTCACAAATACAAGTCATGAGGGAAGCCTGTAAGCCTTTTCCCGGCTGTATCGTTTTGACGCGTAACAGAGCTAGAGCGACGAGCTTACGCGCATATGTCAGGTTGCGGCATTTGGGATGCGATATGTAAGCATTCGCGTTGCTCATGGCAAGCAAAACCACGATACAACAATGTCAGCCTTCTCCTGGTTACATCATTTTTGAAAGGTGATCTTCCTCCCTCCCTTCCTTCCTTTCGGTCTCTCTAATCTTTCTTTGTGTCTTCTTTCCTGTCTTTCTTCCACTCTCTCTCTCTCTCTTTCCTGATTTCTCTTTCCTTCCTTCCTTCCTTCCTTCCTTCAGTCTTTTTTTGCATTTGTATTTTTGAAATGCATTTATATTTGTTTGTTGATACGTTTATACATTTTTTGATTCATTCAATGCATTTATACATTTTTCGATGCTTCTCCCATTCCACATGGTCTCAGTCGCAACGCGCCATCAGAGACCAGTGCCGCATGCCAGGCTCCCAAATTGAAGGATGGGAGCCTGAGAACAAACGAGTCGACATCCCTATGATTTTCCAGCCACCCATACAATGTGGTGATAACTCTCGTGAAATTTTTGAGATAAATCTATGTCTTTAACTCAAATGCTTCTGTGTGTTGTACCAAAATGCAAAAAATTCCAGCATCCAAAGTGAGAGGTTCTGCAAGGATCCAGAAACACACGAACCAAACATTCCAGGAGTTGCGAGAGCAAACTGTTGGTGAGACTGGCCATTATTCATCGAGCAACGTCGATCATTGCTAGTTGGTGGTTGTCAGTCCATTGAGTCCGTCCAAAACAACAAAACTAGACATATCATTCAGAGTTTGGACTCCCAAAAACATTAGAGATCACTCCGCTTGGAGACTAACTTTCAGCAATCCCAGTTCCAAGTCCCCCAACAGCCCCAAGGAACCATTCATCAACTCGTACCAGGCATGGTCGTCTTGCGCAGTGGGAGCACGGCGTTTCAGTTGAGCTGGGATCCATCCAGCGTGGCCGGGAAGATTGCTGTTGTGGATCGCCAGAAACTTTGGGCGACACCACTGGGCGGACAGGATGGGACAGGATGGGACAGGATGGGACAGGATGGGACAGGATGGGACAGGATGGGACAGGATGGGATGGATGATGTGAATTTGGATGAAAAGAAACCCTTGGGGAATTCATCTGGAGGCTTCCAATAAAAGAGTGATACATTGCCAACAGTGATTGTTTGGGAAGGTCAGCTGGTTTCAGGCCCAGTAACTCAAGCCCCATTTGGAGAGAGCATTCCTGTTTCGAATGGGCAATTTTCCACAGTTGGCCTTGTTTGCTGGGGAGTAAACAATATCAATCCATGCTATCCCTTAGTCACATGTGGTGCAGCTTTAGATCAAAACATCCAAAAACTCTCGGGTAAGACATAATCTATCCAGACTTTCAAAACATATATAACATCTCCCTCTCTCTCTCTCTATATATATATATACACAGCATATATATATAGGTATGTATATTAAATATATATATATAGATATTATATATAGAACAAACATATGTGAAACATATATACAGCATATCTTTGATGTTCCCACTTTTCTCTTTCCACACCAACTTTTCCCCCGCAGAAACCCCAACCGGCGAGGCACTTTCTCCAGCTTCGGCCAGGTGTGCCGTAGATCCGTCGCAGGATCCAACATGATCAGGTCCATGCCATCGGTCATGAAGCATAAGGCCTCCACGAAAAACGTCGGCCAAGGGAAAGAACTGATATGGGAAACCATCAAACCCGTGCAAAAAATGTGGTTAATATTGGATTATTAGATGTATATATGAGATTTAAAATGATTTAATGGGAAGAGGCTGAGGACTGATTACCAGTAGTACCGCGCAAGGCGGTGGCGGAAGTTTCAGAAATAGGAAACCTATAGGAGAGGTTGGTTGTTGTGAATCACGGATGGCAGAGCGAAACCACTGATGGACCGAAAGGTGGTTGGAGTTGTGCTTCTTGGAGTGGTTGCAATAGTTGCAGCGGTCACCTCACTCACAACTCCTGGATGTAGTGTGGTGTAGCGCAGTAGTAGTAGTTGTAGTTGTAGTTGTAGTTGTACTTGTAGTTGTTCCCTTTTGGTATACATGATATCTTTGTTTATGATATAAATTATATATATACATGTATATATGTGTTAAATATGATATATATCTATATATATATGGTATCTATGATATCTATGGTATATATGACCTCTATGTTGTTTTTGATATATATGATATCTCTGATACATATGATATATATGGTATCTATGTGATATATATATATATATGATATATATATATATGATATACAGGACCGAGCAGGCCAATTGGGCCATGATCCACGCCACATGTTTGATTTGGACAAAGATCAAGCGTGGCTGTGGACCTAGTTGCGAAACAATGGCAGGCGTGTGGAAAAAGGCACTGAACGCCACCCGCGGACGCCCTGTAACCGCGCGCCGGCAAGGGACAAAATCCCCATGGCACGGTGGCGTTCAGTGCCTTTTTCCACACGCCTGCCATTGTTTCGCAACTAGGTCCACAGCCACGCTTGATCTTTGTCCAAATCAAACATGTGGCGTGGATCATGGCCCAATTGGCCTGCTCGGTCCTGTATATCATATATATATATCATATATATATATATATCACATAGATACCATATATATCATATGTATCAGAGATATCATATATATCAAAAACAACATAGAGATCATATATACCATAGATATCATAGATAGCATATATATATAGATATATATCATATTTAACACATATATATACGTGTGTATATATATATAATATATCATAAACAAAGATATCATGTATACCAAAGATATCATAGATACCAAATATATCATATATAACACACATAAACCCAAAACCCTCAAAACCCCCCCCAAAAAAAAACAAAGGACACGGACACGGTCCAAGCAGCACGGACAATAACAAAACCAGACGCGCCAGACAAAAAAAATAACGTCTTGGCGCAGAGAAAAAAAACGCTTACAACCGTTTAAAAAAAAAAGGGAAGGCGCGAAACGACAGCACACACACACACACACGAACGCTATATGCCCCCCCCCCCACCCCACCCCCCCACCCCCGAAACCCACCCCCCCCCGAAACCCCCCGCCCAAACCCCCCCTCCCCAAACCCAAACCCACACCCGGAAGAGCACCGCAAAAAATCCTGTATTTTCTGCGCAATGAAAAAGGGAAAAAACATCAAAAAACAGAGGAAAAAGTAGGAAAAACATAATACGGTGCGCGGTAACAAAGGGTCCGAGGGAACTTGTCGTTGTTGTTGTTGTAGTTGTAGTGGTGTTGATGTTGTTGAAGTTGTAATGTTGTAATGTTGTAATGTTGTAATGTTGTAGTTGTGGTTGTTGTTGTTGTTGTCGTAGTTGTAGTGTAGTTGAAGTTGTAATTGTCGTAATTGTAGTAATTGTAGTCGTGGTGTAGCGCAGTAGTTGTAGTTTCAGGTGTAGTTGTACTTGTATTGTAGTGGAGTTGTAGTTGTAAGTTGTAGTTGTAAGTTGTAGTGGTAATGTATATAGTGTAATTAGTGTAGTGTAGTTGCAATTGCAGTTGTAGTTGTGGTGTAATTAGTGTAGTGTATTGTAGTGTACTGTAGTGTTGTGTACTGTAGCGTGGTATAGTGTAGTGTGGTCTAGTGTATTGTGATTGTAGTGTAAACTAGTGTAGTTGTAGTGTAGTGTCGTGTAGGGCAATGTAGTGGTAGTTGCAGTTGTAGTGTAATGTAATGTAATTTATTGTAGCGTAGTGTTGTGTAATGTAGTGTAGTTCTAGTTGTGTTTGTATTTGTAGCTGTAATGTAATGTAATTAGTGTATTGCAGTGAAATGTTGTGTAGCTGTCATTGTAGTTGTAGCTGTGGTGGTGGTGGTCGTGGTGGTAGCTGTAATAGTAGTAGTAGTAGTAGTAGTAGAAGTAGTAGTAGTAGTAGTAGTAGTCGTAGTAGTAGAAGTAGTAGTAGTAGCAGCAGCAGCAGCAGTAGCAGTAGGAGTAGGAGTAGGAGTAGTAGTAGTAGTAGTAGTAGGAGGAGGAGTAGTAGTAGTAGTAGGAGTAGGAGTAGGAGTAGTAGTAGTAGCACTGGCTGTTGTAGTAGTTGTAGTGTAATTTGTGTAGTGTAGTCTAGTGCAGTGTAATTAGTGTTGTGTAATGTAGCGTAGTATATTTGTACTTGTAGTTGTAGTATTAGTGTAGTGTGGTGTAGTGGTACTTGTAGTTGTAGTTGCACTTGTAGTCATCTATCTATCTATCTATCTGTCTATCTGCAAGCATTTTGACTTCGAAATGTGTTTGCGCCACAACGCCGTGCACTTTTTTGACATCTGAACTTCAAAAAGTGCTCTGAACGTGGAGTGTTTTTAGCTTTTTCACTTGCAAATGTGCTTCGCGCCACAACGGTGTGCAATTTTTCATCTCTCATCTGGCCAGCTGGCTCCGCACCCGCCGGTTTAGCGAGCCTACTTTTCGACCCTCCGGAGCGACAAATCATGGAAAAACACAGTGTTTCGCGACTTTCGTACCTTTTCGCGCACCTGGATCTTCTTTCTTCCGAGACTTTCTCTTTTGTGATCTTCTTTCTTCTTCTCTTCTCTTCTCTTGTCTTACTCTTCCCATCTCTGCTTTTCATCTGTCCATATTGTCGGAAGTTTGACTTCTAAACTTCCTTCGACTATTGGATTAAGAAGGGATCAATCATGGTTAGCACTGGCTAACCATTGTACATGGTTAACCGGGTCAAAATTGTCATTACCCATTTCAATTGGGATTTAATCATCGTAGTGGGACAATAATAATGGTCCATCATAGCTAATAATGGTTTATATAATAATGGTCAATATTAGGTTAACAGTGGGTTGATAGTGGGTAATGGGATATTTCATGAAATGGGATACCCTGAAACAAATGACATGAAATAGTAGTAGGAATACTATGGGGACATGATAGGGATATGATGATCATGGAATTATCAGTGTGATATTCATGAAATATTGATTGATAGCATCCGGTGTCATCAAACCTGGCTAGCTGGGACTGAATGCAGCTTTCATCATCGAGCTAAATGGGGGTTTTCCCATGCCTATGTTTGATGAAACAACCAAAGTGAAGTCTGAGAAAGACCTAAGCCAACCCCTTGGCACGTACTCATTGTGTGGTTGTTTCCGGGCAGAAATAAATACTCCTTTTTCTCTTCCAAGTGCTCCCTTTGGATCCTCCCAGTAGGCTCGCAGCCCCCCAACTGGAAGCCATGAAACTGAAAAAAAACCTGGCACCGCTATTGAACATTGCCGATCAGCAATTGGGTTTGTCTAAGAATAGTACCCGAAATCCAGTGCCTTAGAATTTCATGTTCCTCATCATCACTGGTCGTATGAATATACACCATGATATCCCAACTTTTAGTCCATAAGTAACTATCCGAAAACCAAGGGTTGTGAAGACCTGGCACAACAAACACCCTGTGACCCGGTCACCCAGTTGCCTCAATGAATTTGGGATGTTTAAAGACATCACCCTGCAGGATGTAACTTCCAGGTGCTTGGAATCCTCGCCACAGCCCAAGCCTCATTTGATCTTCATGGGTGATTTCATGGGTGATTTTTGTGCTGCTTGGTGGTTGACCTACCCCTCTGAAAAATATGAAAGTCAGTTGGGATGATTATTCCCAATATATGGAAAAATATAAATTCATGTTCCAAACCACCAACCAGTGTGTGAAACTCCTATTATTTGTTGGTTATCCACTTGTCCCATGATTTCCATAAAAAACACTGGCATTGCTGGCTCTTCCTTTTTTTTGGCGAAATTAATCCAGTAATTCCCATGCCTCCGATCAAAACCCTCGTCTTTTTCACCCAAAAATCACTGGGGTAGTTCAAACATGTTCCTCCAGAAAACCACCCGGTGCCCATGATCTCCTCATCCTTCACCGGTACTTGGATGTGCGGGCCCCACGAATCGGATTGGCTTATAATCCGTAACCACTATTTCATCCCATTAATTTAAGCGGGGATATTCCATTCATCTAACTGTTTTTTTTCACGCATTTACTAAATGGGATAGGGAAAATACCACTTGTTTATCTGGAAAAATCACTTAAAAAAACTTGGAGATTTCATGATATTTCCAGGTCTTGACCTGTTTTTGACCCATCCCCATGCTCCTTCCCCACCGGCGCCCGTCCGCGTCCTTCCTTGGTCCCCGATGGGATCCCCTGGGCATCGCTCAGCGGCACAACCAGCGCTTCGACCTTGGCCGCGGCATGGAGGACCTCCGTGGCGTGCCAGGCGTTGACATGATCGCCTTGGGAAGCGAGGAATGGGGAATTTACGCCATGAACTGATGGAGATTTCATAGGACTTCATGGGATTTAGTGAAAGGGAATTCAATGGGGATTTTGGATTTGATGGGGACTTACTGCGATATGATCAGAAAATTATAGAACCTCATAGAATTTCATGTGGAGTAAAATTCAATGGGATAATGTTGATATAATTCTATTGTAGACTGATCATAGAATGGATTAATAATGGTTGATATATGAAAGATCCCATGCACCTAAAATTAAACACCCCCCTAGACACCATGGTTTCATAGGGGATTAAATCAGCAAAATACATATTTGAGGCCATACAATGAGGGTGTTTAATGTCAGGGGAATGGGGTTAATGAACATTAAGCAACAACAACATATAACACAACAAGATACACTGAGAACAACAATAGCACTGACAATCATGATGGTCATGAATCAGCAAAACACTAACTAATGATAACCCATGTATATATACATTATATTATGCAAATCTCGTTTCACATAGCTACGTATATTACATGATATACGTATAGTAGGCTGTAGGCTGAATTGGGATGAAGTACCACCAAAAAGGGGGAGATGATTCTTGAGCGGGTTTCCTGTGTTGCAAAATGACGCATACCCGAAGCAATCCGTTGTTCCAGGACAACAGGCATTATGTTTGGGTTTTGCATGACACTTTCAAGTCTTCCGGTCAGATCATGGCACCTCAATGATATATCATATCCACAGTACTTGGTGACTTAAACCCCCATCATTCCTTACTGATATCACTGTGAGTTATTCATTTCTGCTACCCATCTTCGTTCCAGGCTCAGATTCCCCAAAAAAACATGACCAATATGGAATCCTCAAGTTTCGCTCGTTGGATCCCCCAAATCTTCCCATTTTTCCACCCATTTTTGATCCCCACCGCAGCAAGGGGACGATCCACTGAGAAGAACGTGCCCGGCCGGTCACGTCGGCCCAAGGCGTGGCCCAAGAGCAAGGTGGTGCCGGCTGAGCGATGCTGATGATCTTGGAAACGAAAGTCTTGGGACAGTATCAATTGTGGAAAATCTATGAAAATCTTGGATCATTGATATTTCATCACATTTTATTGGATATTTTCCGTTTCTCATAACATAATTTTTTCACAACCCAGATCTGCCTCCAATGCCAGTGAAGAGTTCCAAGGCCTTCCGCACGCCTCCGTGCCGTGCCAGGCACCACAGGGCGCGGCCCAACCTGTGGTGGTGATTTTCTTGGAACACATTCGGATGGGATTCCTAGGATGATTAACTGAGCAAGAGCATTACCGGTTTATTGCACATTCCATGGGGACTGAGGGAAATGGCTGGAATCTCGGCTAGAAACACAGGGGATAGATACTATCTGGTTTTGCGGATGGTTGACGCCAGTTTCAAACTTTCATTGTCAATTTGTAGAAACACCTGCAACTCATCTGGTTGGTGGTTTGAATCCAAAAATTGGTGGACACCAAAAGACATTGCTGACTGTGTACCCACCTGTGGTGGGGAAATGAATCAAGAGTCATCACGAATCAACTGCTGGTGGTTGAGCCACCGATCCCCAACATATGAACTTTAATTGGGATTTAGATTGTCATCTAAATCATCTAAGTACATTTTAGATCTGGAGATGCGACATCATGCTGGGATTACAATGAAAACGCATACCAAGAAGCAGAAACAGAACTTCAACAACTCTGTTCAAAGTGGAAACATCCTTGCAACTTAACATGACTTTAGATACCCAAAAGTTCATTCTTTTGGGACGTTTCGCATCCAAATAGCACACCAAGCCATCCACGACCCACGACCCGGTCTGACGCTCAGAAACTGCGTGGATCTGGAGATGCATCCCAACTCGCTGGCTTCTGTCCCTGGCAAGGACTATCTTGGAGATCTTGGGTAACTATCATCAATGGGGATAATACTTATCCAATGGGTAATCCAATCAATGATGGGTAATGATTTATCATTATCCAATAATTTATAACACTTATCCAATGGATAATGATCAATCAATGGGTAATCATTGGATAATATCTTATCATTGGGGATGGTTCTTATAAATTATCGGTCCTATTATGATCAGCCAATCTAATATTGGAGAATACTCCCCAATGACTATTTGGATAGTATAAGCTCACGAATCAACCCGCAGGACACAGGGATTTGGAACACTGCTCATTTGTCGATGATCCCGAGTTTGTTTTGGGATGGAAACCATACCCGTTTGAAACCACCAACAGGTCGTGAAAAATTGGCGAAGATAAGATAAGCATCCCCCTTTTGAGGGGATACTTTAACCCGCAAGTATTTCTAGGCCAAAATTCCGTATAGTGTGGTTTAACCCCTTCCACTTTTCAAGCTTAAACACCAAAAAACATCCTTGAAACTTACCTAAAGTTTTCTTGGTTCAACAGCAATTTTTGGTAAAATACTTGTAAAATCATATCAATTCCCCATTTCTCTCGTTGAAAATCACCGATTTTTCCTTGCCTCCAAAGAGTGACTTGGCGGCTGGTGGAAAGTCCACACTCTCTGGTGGACAGCCAGGCAATTCCACCAATCCTGGAGCCCAAAACCGATCTGGGAAAATTTAAGGATTTGTTTCCCCTAAATCCTATAGCTCATATACATTTCACAGTGAACTTGTCTTTTATTCTTTTTGTGTATATCTGTTCACATCTGGTCTGTTTGACTCGGTGAAATAGTTGGGAAATATAGATATTTCTCTACGGCTCTTCTGAATCAGCACGACAAGTTGGTAAAGTCCTAATTTTCAAGACTTGGACGACTCAAACAAGTTTTGAACTAAAAACAACTACCCCTGAAACGTAATGTCAAACGCCGAAAAGTAACCGTTTCCAACAGGCAAATCCTCTTCCAAATCCACTCTATTTGGGGTTTTCAGTATTTGTTCATGTTTGTTCCATGCACAAACAACTTCCACCCGCGTTGTTTTCTGGCACCAAGACTCGGTTTTGCCCTCGGCATCGTTGCGCCAGTCGTCGTTCGCAGACGCGGATCGCATGCTTGGCGCGGCGGGTGTCGTTGCGGTTCGCGGCGCAGTGGTATCCCGTGGCGGCTTGGGCCATCACAAGGCCCAGTAGCCATGGGGCCATGACGGTGCATGGGTGATAATGATAGTGGATAGATGTGGATAGTAACAGCTGAACCCTCTGGAGAATGGAGTAGGATGTGCTGGCTATGATTTTTGTGGAAGTCCTCTGGAAGGTCACTTGTATATCTGCTGGATATCATTCTGTGACTTGGCAGACCTGGTGGAGTCTCAGACAAGGTTTGTGTGCTTAGCCGGTCATCGGGAGACCCCACCTGTTATGTTTCAAGACATCCATTTCTTGGTTCTCCTTCCAAAACAGGTCAACTAGGTGGGTAAGTTAGCACAAATTGCTGGGTGCCCAAGCACGACATCGTTTGCTTTTCGCCATAACCATGGATCTGAAAGCTAACTCAAGCCAGAAAGGCTGGGATAGGATGAGATCATCTTGATCCAGGGCTTGAGCTGCTGCTCAAGTATTGGGATAATGGAAACACCAGCTTTGGTCGTTGATCATCTGGGTGGCTTCTCCCAAGAACATCATGTATCATTAACAGGGTGATTTCTCATCTTGGAGCAGCTTCCCCAACCCAAATGATCAACCTTAACAGGGTAAGGCCGACTTCCAGGATGATGCCCACCACGTTGCTACAACGTGGCCAAATTGGCAAACAATGAGTCCCTTAATGGCATTAATGGGTCACCCGTCCGCATGAACTCTGCAAGAATTTTGCCAAATTCACCCATGACCCAGGCATTCACCAAACCTTCACCGCGAAATCTGTGCAGATTTTTGCCGGCAGATGTCATCGGACCTCGCAGCCCAGACGGTCTTTGACACAGATTTGTCGCTTCTGGCGTCGCACGCCGCGCGGGTCTCCAGTACTTCACTCCACCCTCACACCGGAACCATGGGGGGCCGGTGGCCGAGGGAGGCAGGAAGCACTGGCCTAAGAGACCCGAGAAGCGGTGAATTGTCCAATCAATGATTGGCTGTGTTCTGCTCAAAATCTGTGTGGCAGCGTGCAGACACTTTTTGAGACCGAATTTGTGCATTCCGACTCTGTTATTTGCCACAAATTATGCGCAGCACTGCAAAGCCAGAGCAATCAAACCTTCAGTTTTGCTGGATCAAACCAATCGTGTGAGACTATGACACGTTGGCAAAATGATAGGCTCTATCGAAAACTGGCATATCTCTTCCGATCAACAATCCGGATCTGGTTTACTTGAATACAATTGTGATATCCTTCTATCCAGCGTTGCGTGCTTGGCACATTTACTGACTGTCAGCAGCTCGTGAGCATTGTCGCTCACTGAGGGTATTCTCTGGAGTGCCAGTGAGTTTTGGTACTTCCTGGCTTCATCATTTGGAATTCGACACCTAACATCCTTACCATCCTTAGGCATTCTTTGTTCCTTGCTGTTCAACAACCGAATGTAGCTGAGTCATCACCATGCTTTTGGGCTTCCTGAAAGTCATCACACCAGATTTAATGGATTCAAACCAACGAAACTTGGCATAGCAAACACATGACCTTTACCCTCTGGTAATTTAGCATAGCTAATGTGAAAATTGAGTATAGAAATAGTTGATTTACCGAACTCAAAGATGGTGATTTTCCATAGCTATGTTAGTTTACCAGAGGGTAAACGAATCAGCTAACCTTTTGTACTGAATCTTCTTCAGGACTGAACAACACAACCCGCCGCTTCATCAACTCAGGCCATGGAAATGCCCTTCAGTAGTGCCTAGAAATTATCCATGATCATCATGAGATGTATCATTGATCAATGCTGGTTGGTAAAACATGTTTCTATCCGGAATTATAAACCTATGATAGACCTAGCCTCACTTGATGGTTCCATTGGTTCCCTAGGCATCCCAAGCAATGGCCCTCAACGCATCTGCGTTTGAAACAAACGCAGCAAACACTGCGTTGCCGTGGGCCGTGGCTCGCCCCGCGGCGCTCACTTCTTGGCCTTGGCAGCTGGCCTCGGAGGCATTGGTTGAGTGGAGCGCTAAGAATTGATCCTGAAAACAGGATCCGAAAAGGAAGGCAACCCATATCTCTCTCTTACTTCGTTCCTGTGGAATAGAAAAACTATTCCTCTGTTTCGAATTTATCTATCATTTACCTATCATTTGGTTGGGTAACTGAATCCGTAGCTCCAACCGATTGAATTTTGGGTCTACTGCCCTAGCTGCTGAGATCCCTGAAGCAGGGAGACACTTCACCGAGCCGCTTGTTGTTGGATGCCGCGGTGGCTGCCTTGCCCTTTTCGGCCGCCGTTGCCTGCCATCACGAAAAGCATTTCAGCCACCAAAAGTTGGTGGTTGAGCCACCAATCTAAGAATATGAAAGCCAATTCCTTCTCATTCTATTGGTTGAAAGATTCAACCATGCGTGAACTCACCAGCGACTAGTAGATGAGAAGAAAGTGCCCATGGGACCAACATTATTGCACCACTGAAAAAGTGTTGGGGACAACCCTTTTCTATGCGGAAGTAATTCTATTGATCCCAGCTCTTCTATATTCTTCTATACTTGGATCTTCCAATTGGACGCCAAACATCTTCTATACTATGGATATATCTATATCTATATATCTATAATTAACATATATTTCATGGATACTTCCATGGTTTTCATGTGAATATCTCACCCCTCAGCTGAGATGCCGGACCTTGGGTGCCTTGCCATTCTTTGCCTTGGCATCCGCTGGCTCCTGCGCCGGGGTTGGGGGTTTACACACCATTATGATTTTTATAGATGGTATACACCAGAAAATTTGTGATGCTTATAGATGATGATGATAATTTACTCATGAAAATTTGTGATGTTTATACATGTTTATACCTTATGATGGTAAAATTATAGTATTAGATAACAATATAAAAATTATCTGGGTAAATTGTACCATTTAGAACATGTATAGCAATTATCTGGCATGATCTGGGTAAATTAAATAATATTTCACTCATCTGAATTGTTGGGCCATAAAAGGGGATGATTTCCCTTACGAACCATGATTCCAGTGAGGGAGAACAGGGTTCGGTCGCGATTAAATTTACCCAGAATTATGGGTTGGATCCACCCTCATGGGTTGGATCCACAGTTTGCTATGCAAATAATGTGAAACCCTCTGGTAAACATACAAAAAACAATGGAAAAGCACCATCTTTAAGTTCGGCAAATCGACTATTTCTATGTGCCATTTTTCAATAGCTATGTTAAACTACCAGAGGGTAGACGTTTATGACATTTGGAACATGTAATTCCTATTATTACTGGTAATGTAGTAAACCCAATTAATACAACATACCCAATATGACCATTGGCGATAAAAACCACCCCCAATCATGATAGGTCCATGGCTTTACCACATTGAGCTGAGGACTTTCCCTCTCTGCTTCGACCTGGTTGAAAGTATCCTCAATCAAACATGGAAGTGGGCAAAAACATATTTCCACGGAAAGACACCACCTAACCAAGATTTTGCATTTTTTCATTTCCATGGCTGCATTTTGCAGCTTGACACCACCATGTTTGATTGTAAAACTGCTATTTTTGCTCCCACAGGTTTGTCAAACAATGGGGCACCAACCTACAATCGCATTGTTGATCATCTTCCCCAACAAAATTGCCAGCATACTGGATTATTGGACAAATCCATACTCTGTTCCCATTGCCAAATGGAGATTACCATATGGTCTGGTAGTCTAAGTTGGACATAGGATTATACGAGATCCCTTCTGGTTGGTGGTTTGAACCATCTTGAAACATATTAGTCAATGGGAAGGGTTATCTATATAATTATGGAAAATAAAACATGTTTGAAACCACCAACCAGCCTTTCTTCCTAGAATTTTCGAGAACGTCTGCAGGGAAAAAAACGCCATCCTTGGGAGATTTTCCCGACACCTTGGCCGCCTTCTTGCGGCAGCAGCGGCAACCGCAGCAGCACCTGGGATGTGGCGCTGGGTGCCAATTTCAGCGCATCAGCTGCGGGATCTTTTGGCATAGCTGTCGGAAACCATCCGGATGGGAGTACTTGGAGGATCATCCCACCTGGTAACTGGGTAACCACACTTATAACCCAATGAATGAGGACTTATCCCAGGGTTCGTAAGGATGGTGCTTGCTTCTCCGCAGTATCAGTTGGTTGCAGACCAAGTCCTGGTCACGTCTCCACAGGCCGCATCTTTGTTGCTCATTTTGGTGGTAATCAAACATGGCAATCAGAAACCCTGCATCTTCAAAATAAAAATCATTTGTACATGGGTATAGATAAATAAATGCAGTCTGTCAAATTGCCAGGTTGCATGTCCAGAAGTTAACTCCAATGAAGCTGTCCACAGCTTGATCTTTTCGGATCAGATCGGCTTCAGCATCCATCATGGATGACCATTGCGCATGTCCACAGTTAGTCGGGTTTCTTGGAACAGAAGCTTCTGCACATTAGCCCCAAATCCAAACATAAGGATGTTGGAATTCTCCCGGTCATTTTCTATATTTCATTATATTGATCAGACTTCTCAAACTCTTCACGTTGGACCATGGTAGGCCATGGCCATGGCTATGCAGGCAAGCTGCAGACAACAAAGGATCGACTTTGCCAGCCAAGCGCTGAAAAGGACGACTTTCATGATGAAGTACCTGGTCTTTGGCACGGGACATGACATCAGGCAGTTCTTTGAAGCCTGCTCAACAGGGGAATCCTGCAAGCGCGGCTACCACAATACCCGGGTGAGCTATCCCCTGGTTGAATTGTCCTCAAAATCAGGGGCTTTCAGAAGCCTTTCACATTGCCAAGTCCTTTCTAGCCATGCTGTTCTCACTGGATGTTGCCAAACACCTGCGTGGGGCACATCACAGAGAAGATGTACAGCACGAAGATCAGCAAGTTCATGGGGGTCTCAGTGGCTAGGTGGTAAGCCTCCCACATATACTGACACCATAAAGGAATATAAACGATAGAAACCGAAATTATGTGGCACATTCACCAGTGGCATACTCTTATTTTAATAAGGTTTTTGCGTGATCGCTCAGAAGTGGGTACCTGACTCCAAAGGCACACCCATTCCACACTTGTCCAGGCCCCAGACCCTGCTGATGAGCCCAGTGTACTTGGGAAGCGCCTAAGGAACGAGCGCAGCGATCATCCGTGAAACATCCAGGAGGTTGGGGATGACCATGAAAAGTTGACACAACACTATGAGATGTCTCGGGAGACAACAGTTCCAAACTAGGACGATGGCCACATGTGAATGATTCAGGGACTCTGTGACTTTAACGAGGGTGAGTTCCATATGAGACTCTGGCGAGAAAAAAAAAACAAAAGCCAACAAAAACTACAGTTCCGATAACTCCATGCTGCTTAGGTACCACAATCAAACTAAACCACAAGATCCCAGAGAGTGGCCCTATAAGTTGCTGACAGTCCAATGCAGAAACCAAGGTGTTCCTCATGGTTGAACACAGGGGATGGATGGTTAGGGCATAAAGGATCTGGAACCCACCAAACATTTCGTTGCGGACTTCCCATTTTATTTTCTAGTTACTTCACCCGTTGCCCTCTGGTAAGCATACAAAAGACTATGGAACATCACCATGCTATTAATGGGAAACTATTTCTATGGCCATGTTCAATAGCTATGTTTGTTTACCAGAGGGTAATACCCCATATCATCCTATTATTCACCATTGTTAACCATAGAAAATCACGATTTATCTTGGTTAAATCACCATTTTCCAGGGATACTCCCCAAGTTTTCCGAAAGATCAAGACACGGATTCGAAGGCATCAATCACGAAGTGGGTGTAGCGATTCAACGACCTGAGAGCAAAGGTTGGTTGGGAAAAACTGGGAAATGGATGGAAAGGGGTCAAACATATGGTGCTACCAGGGATTTAGGAACTTACCAATGGTCGAACTTACCAGGGATTTATGGTGCTACTAGGAACTAACATATGGTGCTACTGATGTGAAAGCATTCCAATATGGTTTCATCCTCCAACGGTGGTTGTGAATTGAGCAACAACATCGCCTGGACATGGACCTGACAAACCCACAATCAATGGTTTTTCATTAAAAAAGGAGATGCAACCAGTTGGTTTGTAATCAATGTGCATCATGATCACTGGGTGTCGAATTTTTACCCCCGGAATCTCTCTGCCGGAACCGATTCTGTGACACAAAGGATGGTGGCGAAGATGGGAGATACCACATGATCTTGCAATAATTGGGGAGAATACATGGGCAAAGGGTGCCAAACTGACACGGTCATCGTTGAAATTCATGTGGCAAACCCGATAGTAAACCTACAGTTGGATGGTTCATACCACCCACTGATGGTTGGGTTTACCACATTATTTGCATAGGAAACTTTTGGATCTAACCCAACAAAGACTGTAATAGCATGACCTTGGCAATTCGCCGCGGCGCCGCAGAACGCCTTTTTTGGAGACAGAAAATTTGGCTCGACGCTTCTGATGGTTTCGCATCGAACAAGAGAAAAACGATTTGTAGGTTTTCAATGATTCTATCAACTCTCTGCCATGAATGATCCCTTAGCTCAACATAAAACTCGCCTGTGGCTACCAGCAACTCATGGTGGGTTGCTTCGAATCATGAGGGGGCAGCCGCCACTGTGGCAGCGCCGAAGAGAGGTCGTTCGCCGTGCAAGAGATGTCTCAGTTCACAACTGTCCCAGTTGTGGTTGGTTAGACAGCCATCAGGGGTGTCCAAAATGATGCTGGTAAAGATTTGATGAAATCATGCTTAGTATTCTTTGATTCATCAGACATTCCGCAGGAATGGCTCAACTTCAAGCGTAGGGGGCAACATTTTGGATCACTTTGATGCTCTTTTGGTCCCCTTCGCCCCTAAGGATGTGTTCAACCCCCTGCCCCAATGGCACACGACGAATCCGAGGACTGGTGCCATCCGACGCCCAACTCGGTGTGTCACGTCGCTCACATTCCCTTGATGATCTTGGCCTTGACAGCGCACCGAAATCATGTTCCAATTTAGCATGCCATGTGCAAATCTTTGTGCGTGGACACATCTACCAAGGAAGATCCACCATACCTGCAGTGAAATCAAACCTTAAGGATGTCGAGATGTCAAGTAAGGGCTGGGGTTTTCCGAAACTTTGCAGGGTACCCCTCATCCATCCCCATGTCTCAATCCTGCATCGCAAAGGTTCATGCCTTATCCATACGCACGTATGTAATATGATCACTTTACACACAGTACACACAGATAAATTATGTATATATATATAATATATATATATATATCTATATCTAAAGACCTACAGATATTAAATATGGATGCACATCCTGACCCACAATCCCGTAGAAGACCCCCCAGAAAACGATCGCATCGTTTCGAGGCACCCCCATCTTCTTCAAGAGCCGATCGCCCGCTTCCTGGCCCAGGGAGCTGGAGCGCTGGTGGTGTCTTTGGGGATGAGCGGTGCAAAGCCACGGTGGTGTTTGTTGGTTTTAGACACCGATAGTTGGTTGAAAGTGAGATGGTTTATATAGATTTTTGTTGGTGTATAACTATAGTATACTATAGTTATTATTATCGAATATTTTGGAAATATCTACTAAGCCATAGAAAACTTGTGAATTTATACAGCAACAGAAATCATTTTTTTGCGGACCTGCATTGCAGTCCCAGTTGGTTAGTCGGTATATTTCAACTGATGGGATTATCCATCAAATCACGAGGAAAAAGATGGGATTGCATATAAAACATGGCAAATTTGGGGGGGGAATATGTATTTTGATATGGGATACTCAGAAAACATGGGGATATAATTTGGCAACAAGATATGGAGATATTCAACTGGTGGTGGATTCTGGAAGAGCAGCGCCACCACACGGCTGGCTTTCAAGTTGCACCTGTCCAGGACAGATCTGCAGCTTTTTCCTACGCGTTTTCAACCTCTACGGGACAGGTCGTCTCGGCTGATTTTCACCGCGACCCTTTCCATGCCATCGCTGATACCCTGATAGATACAGCTCAGGCACTTCAACCTCTGCTTTACAGAGGCTGGGATGAAACATCCCGTGAAACATCTGGCAGCAATCGGGCAGATCCAGGCAATCACTTGAAAGTTAGGATCAGGAAATTCCGGGGGTGCCATGTCATGCTCTACAAGCAACATGATTCAACATATTTGTACTGATCTTCTCATCAAAACATATAAAACCAACATTTGTGTAGAATTGCATGTACTTATATTTTTCAACTCCCCACATTGCCCAAATCCCTCAGATTGGTTTCTTTCGAATCATTCTAGCCACCATCTAGCAGTATCCTTCAAGTGACTGCGGCTTATCTCACTAGGCTTGGAGCACATCAAATGATGCCCAGAGCCTTGCGGCAGTGATCTCTGAAAACTCCGGGCACCTTCCAAGGGGAAACACTCAACAGGTGGTTTATTTCAATGTTGTCCTGCAATGTGGTAAAGCCACTACCCTCTGGTAATTTAACATAGCTATGGAAAATCACAATTTTTAATGGGTAAATTCACTATAAATGGCCATTTCCAATAGCTATGTTTGTTTACCAGAGGGTAATGAATCATCCCCAACAGAGCTTCACTGATGGGTTTACCACAACAAATCAAGTTTGTATTTTTAGACTGTCCTGATTTGAAGGCTACCTATTTTCACATGGTCGCCCAACTACCTCTCAGCTCATTGGCATGGTTGGTTGATTGAATGGTTGACCATTTGCCTGTCAGATTCATGTTCCTCCGCAAAAGTGCTTTGAAAGATCAACCCATCTTTACCAGCTACTACACATACCCAGTTGCCAGGGTTCCGATATTTTTACATCGAGTGACCCAAGTCATATCCACATATTTTGAGGTTTGGTCAGGACCCAAATCTGAGCCACAACATTTTTCATCACTGACCCAGCCGTCACCTGCAAGTCTTCCTCAATGGCAACGTCATCCACCAACTTCTTCTCCAGTGAGACCTGCGCAACGCACCAAGGGGATGATGGTAATTTATGCTTCATGGGGAGATCATAGGGATATTTCATGGAATATATATATAATATTTGTATATAGTATATAATAGATATCTATATATATATATCTATAATATTGGACATGTTGTATATATATATACACATCTATACATGAACAGCTTGATGTATCATAGCTGGGTCCGCAAGTCTGTCAGCTGGGGGATATACCACCAAAAAAAACGGCCATTTCGTTTTAAAGGATTCTCCACTACCCATCTAGTTGGGAATTCCACGGAAATTCACATGGATTTTATCTGGTTGGTGGTTTCAACCCCTCTGAAAAATATGAAAGTCAGTTTATGGAAAAATAAAATTCATGTTCCAAACCACCAACCAGTTATGATTCATCCAATATTTTCAAGGTATTGAGTCTCATCCCCACAGCAGCAAGCTGAGCTCACCAGGAAGCGGAGACTCTGCAAGGTCTGCCGAAGCAGTTCCTGGGCGTGGCACGGTGACGAGGCAAGTCATGGAAGAAACCAAGGTGTTTGCCAATAGATGTTCTATTAGGCAAGTATTTCGCCGTACTATAAGAACAATATCACTGTTCTATTAGTTCTATAGCATCTCCAAGCCAATAAAATTAGAACAGTCCGTGGCGTAGAGAGTCAAATCATCTATTTCTGGTGAATTTATCATGATTCGTTGGGCCATTGTTGGGACGATATTCCATGATATTCCCCCAACGTTTGCCCAGGTGCAGCTATCAGACTGCTAGCTCCAGTAAAAGCCAGCGGGTTGCAAGCCTCAAATCAGTTACAAACCTGAATAGTGTGTCATTCTTGGGATAATTCTCCCCTAAAAAAGCACCCCTTCTAACTTATCCCGCTGAATTCTCCATGGCTCTTCGGAAGTCAGATTGGGAGCCGGATAGCCTGAGCTCAGCGCTGCTGGAACCACCCAGATGGAGCTGTGAAAATTTGAAAAAGTAAAACAGAAACACCTAGGGTACAAACAACAGAAACACATGGTACAATGGTGCGATATGGTAGAGTGACAGTAGAAGCAACAACTTGAACAAAAAACATCGGAAAACAGAGAGATATCCTCAGATGCACGCAGTCTTTGACACGGAGGCTGCTGGTGATAAGGGGAGATACTGGCCGCGCACATGAAACACACAATGATGCAAGCCATTGAAGAACTGATTCGACGAGACTCTTCCAATCAGGGTGGAACGCGCACGAAACAGAAAACATATTGACTGCATATTTTGTCTTGTCGCTCCAATTACCCCCAACCTTAAGTTGTGTTCTTCTTTCCTTTTGTCATCGTCGTTTTCTTGCTTCATAGAGTAGGAGTCAACCTTGGTGTACTCCGATAGATGTGATAATACTCCAAAATCTCAACCATGGTCATCTGGGCCCTGAATTTCACCCAGTACCAATATGTTGTCTATCAGTGATATGATAGGGCCATAGTTTCTCCTGCTACTCCATTTTCATGCATGAAGAGAAACTGACTGATATCTGATGATACAGCATCTGGGTGAAATGCGTCACAAACCTGAAACTTAAACACTACGCACCTTTTACTGGCACGAAGCACTATCTTATAACTACTTCACGTCATGGCTCTCCTCCAAAACCCCCAACACCTCAAACAATCTGGACATACCCATATAGAATCCCAGTTGATTCTCTCGGTCCCAACCGTGGCTAATCCTGGATACACTGCAAAACATACACCTTCTCAGCAGGAGATCAACGACATTCCCATGACTCCCTGAATATTCGTTGCTTAAATCTCCTATGTATGGTAAAATCAAAGGCAACTTGATCCCCATCTGTGCACATTTTCCTTAGTCCTTGCTTGGATGTGCATCCCATGAATCGGATCCGTGGTTTATAATCCATTCATCAAAAGCCATATTTCAGCCCATCAGTGGGGATATTCCATTAATCTATATAACTAGTGGTATAATTCATGATATTCCACAAGGTTTATTACAACCCATATAATCTCATTCCAATAATAACTCATATTTTTAAAAGCCATAATAATCCAATTCTTGATATTCCATTAATCTAATTATTGGAATATTAAGCTTATTGGAATATATTGGAATGATAGTGAATTGGATTATTTATGATTATTACCCTCTGGTAAATTAACATAGACCCTGGCAGTCATCGGGGTTGGAAGACTAGTTTCCATTAACAATTGGCTATTTTCAGGGTTATTAACCATAGATTAACCATAGATTAACCATTATTAGCCATTATTGGCCATTATTATATTGGAATCATCCATGAATCCAAGCCATAACATCCCATGGGCCGCCACACTGGAGAGCTCGGTACAGCCATCGCGGTAGGTCTCCACGAGGTTCAACAGCGCGCAGAGCGGACGGAACTCGGGCCGCGAGTGCCTGGACGTCTTGGGATGGTGATTTCACCCTGAAAAATGGGGATTTCATGGAACTTATAGCTGATTTATAAGTTGAAAAATGGGGATTTATCTTTATCAATATTAATGGCCATAGCTGGTTGATAATCTTTATCAACTATAGCTGATTTATCATTGATAAAAGGATTCATCTGGCTGAAATCTATAATTTTATGTTTATTCCAACTTGTGATGGATTTAACAATTGGGCGTGCCCCAGTTCGGAAGCGCTAAGTTGGTGCAATAACTCCAATAACTCGGGTTTATTGTAGATATACCTATACTTGATGGGGGTTGTAAACTAATTTTTTAACTGGGGGGGGCACTACCTTGTTATAGCTGATTTATGATAGCTACGTTGGTAATAACCACGCGAACGGGTTGATGGTCTCAATGCTTCTTCTGAGAAAATGGCCTATCAAACGAGGTGGGAAATACCAACTGTTTATCCATTGATCTGGGAGCCCAGCCAGGCTTGGGATGAACAAAAATCGTTGATGTTCAAACAGCAGGGCCAAGGTCTTTCACAATCTTTCACATCATTTCATTATCACATATTTTTCATAATCATTTCATTAATGATTATCTAAATTATCTATCACATATTGCACCACTAGTTTTGTTCTTTTAACCATCATCTTTCCATCATGACTGGGTCATACCATGATCTGCCACCGAGAGGCAAATGCCGCAGCTGCACGGCCGCGGAAAACTGCACTCCTCAAATGTCAGCGGAATGGGTCATAAACTGGATAAATCCACCATTTGTAGATGCCACCGGAGGGAACCCCTAAACACTGTTTGCTCAAAAACGAAACATGACCACCATTTGTGGGGTTGGAGACCTCCAAGAACTTTGACCCATACAAAAAGTAAATATCTGCTAATACGGAAGTAATCATCATGTTTTGATCTGGGCTTCGAAATCAAACAGCAACTTCCATCGATTTGAAGGGGCTAGACTCCTAAGAGTTCCCCCCAATCCGAGTCGGTAATTCTTCAAGACATGTATCCCATTCATAAATCCCCCAAACCATCCAAAACTGGTTGGTGGTATACCAACCTCTCTGAAAAATGATGGAGTTCGCCAGTTGGGATGATTCTTCCCAATATATGGAAAGTCATCAAATTCATGTTCCAAAACACCAATCAGAAAACCATCATTTCTGCCATTCTGTTGTGGATGACTCATCCCCCAACATATCAACACATCAAACACCGGTTCGGCCGAGCTGGCCCACCTGCGCCCATATGCAGCGAGTCGGTGGTGAGATATCCGAAGTCCGCGTGGCGTGCAAAGCCTGGATTGGGGTCAAGCCATTAAATATGAAATATCCAGGATATATCATCATCCATTATAATGATAATATAAATGAATATATCCAAATAATATATCATTATGATATATCATATATTTAAGATTTGTATGAGAGAGAGAGAGATACATATATATATATATATACCATGATCCATGGTTTGTTTGGATGGATAACTAATGGATAATATATGTGGTCGATTTTTCATGTTGGGGAACCAGCCATATAATGTCTATTCAATGGGTATTATCCATCCAATCATTCGGGGTATTTATACCACAGAATGACGATTTTGAGTATTCTCTATCCAATAATTGGGGTCAATTTCGACCCATACCCGTCTTACATTGATATAATACGATATAATGGGGTTTGAATGGATTTCATAGGAGATAGTTGATGTATTCCATAAGAGATATCACCTACTGGTGTATAATACCGCCATGTTAACTCCAATAGGTCGGGATATGAGGCCCAGATAACTATGGTGAACTATAGCCGCTACTGGAACTGATGAGATTTATGGTTTTTATGGTTGAATGAACATACAAAAGGTAGGCTGGTGGATTTGATAAACTGAGATCAAACTGAAAAAAACACGGCCAGAGGGTCCGATAGAGATACACATGCAAATAAATATGTAGCAAGACTTCTCTATCATCCCCATTGATCTGGGTAAACTATACTATTTCATACTATTTCTATAATCTAAAATGTTGGGTTATTTTTGGGCAGTTACCCTTACAGTTCACACCATTCCGGGTCGTAATCAAATTTACCCAGATTATATTAGATTATCATCATTCATCACCATTCATCAGCATTATTAACCAATATCTATCATCCTCACCTCATTGATCATATGATGGTTTCTAAACATGGGGGATCCCAAAGTCGCCATAGTTAATTCCAATACTAAGTCATGGCCATCCATGACGACTGGATGATTTGGGGTACCCTCATGACAAAATGGACACCTCTGTATCTACCACCACCACGAATTTCCCCCGCCAATTCCCAAGCCTGTACCCTTGGAATCCTTCACCGCCTTCTCAATTCGATCCGCCAGGCCTCATGTTCGCAGCGCAGGAAACTGGGCTCCGAGATTTCCGGAAGATGGCAATATAGGAGAAAAAACAAGGAAACTGGAGGTAGTATTGGTTTGGGGGCTGAAACCACCTAAAATGGTGCAACTATCTCAATCCCTGGGGCCCAAAACGATTCAAACTCATGAGATCTCACGATGGATTTAGGCTTCGGCCACAA